AAGCACTGCCCTTACCGGCTCTCCATGCTTGATTAATCCTCCTCTCCTTGCAATATATAAATTTTAATTTACTGACTGGAATTGAATATATTCTCTGCAACAAGGGACAGCTCTCTCTACTTATTTTAGACCTTTTACCATCAATATCTGTCAGTAGTGTGAAATACAGCATAAGTAGCATAGAAGATCAATGCCTTCCGAAGTCCTCAGTATCCACTGCTCCCATGTAAACATTTTCTGAAGTATTGAAGCCGACTGCATTTTAAAGCTTAAGACAACTTCAAAAGTGATAAAATACAGCGTAGATGACATTACACATACATAATTCTGGAAGACTACTCACTTACAGTAAGAGAGCTTCTTTATCTTAATCCTTGGCATATATAAAAATAAGCACTTTAAAGCAGTGCACGGCTCCAGCAAGTGTAGCCAAGAAGAGCCTGTATTCTAAGCTCAGAAGCTTGATGATTAAAATCTGCCTAGCAAGAGAACATCTTTACCTTACACACTGCAACACTTCAAATGGACATGTTAAATTAAAAAAACAAGTATGTAGATACAAAGGAAAAAAAAACCAACCTGACAGCAGCATTTGCAGAATCTGATACTGCATTTTCTGTCTTGCTAGGGATTCTGCTATCTTTAAGGGATGACTTCTGCTTTTTCAGTATTAAGGAATGGAGATCTTGTAAAGGGCTCAGCTTAATTCCCAAATACTGCAAATAGGGGAGCTGCTAGGCTTTAAAATATCCGTGCCAGGAAGTATCGTGACAATTAGTAGGTAGGATAGCTGATAAACTCAGGAATCTTAAGAGTTCATTTTACTCATGACAAAGCTGTTAATGCAACAATTGCTCTCTTACAATGACTGAAACATGCACAGCAGCCATGTAATTTTATGTAAGCTCAGTTAAACTCCCTCCTCACATCAAGATACTCTGTGATTGATGCAGGCAGGAGTGATAGCAAGCAAAGGATTTCTACAAAACGCCAAATTAACTTCTTTTCTGTGAAACATTCTTGAAAGCTTGTTTGCTGTTAAACTATTAATATATACTCTATCTTACAATATTGTTTTCTCTCAACTAAGCATTATGCAATTTTCCTGTATGTTGTTCTCATTTATCACTGTTTTATGTAAAAGTCAGTGTGTATTTTCCAAATCTTACTTCCTGAAACAACTCTATGAAGATTACAAGTACCATGTCAGATTTATCAAACTCCAAACTTTTTAAATCTGTCAGCAGACAGTAGCTTAGGACACTATAATAACAAGTGTACAGGAGAAACAGCTGTTGTGGTTTAGGATGTTGCTCTGCAGGAAGGTAGCTGAGGTAGTTTTCTGGAAGTCCACATATACCTCTCCCCCCTTTATCCTGCCTGGCCTCCTTGACAGAAGTTCCTGAGTAACCTAGCAGGTGCTTGATGGTCAACAACCTGAGCAGTTGCCAGGACAAACATGGGAGCAGGGAAGAAAGGAGGTACAGAGAGCACATATATGTGCTCACATAGGTGTGTTTAAAATGGAATCGGAAATGAGAAGGGAGATTCAAATATGACAGATGGTGTCAGCATTCAAGTGCCACCTTGGGGCATAAACCAGATCTAGGTAACTGCTGTTAACCAGCTACTTTTTACTTTCTCCTCAAAGGAGCCACTTCACATCATGCAAGCCTCCTCTTCTGCTTCACAGTAGAGTAAGGCAGTTTATTTTCAATTGTCCTCAACAGGTTAAGGGAAAAAAAAATCACATTGTTTTACATTCAAGTGGGTGAATACGAACAATTGTTTCTCTAAATCGCTGAGTGGTCAGTAAAACCTGATACAACACAGACAGTGGTCAAGATACTACCTTTTCTTTCAGCAGTGTACTTCTGTCCAAGCAGAAGCCTATGGATCAGCTATCTGGACATATAGAACAGATAATCTCTTTCTTGGTTATGCTCCTGGGAACAGTTCCCAGTACAGATCACCATTACATGTAAATACCATAAATATTACAAACTTGCAGTGAAGTGGTCAAATCAGTTCATGCAGAAACACTGCTCCCAGGAATTGACAAAAGAATTAATCTGACACTGAAGATCAGCAAAAAGTATCAACAAAGCACCCTGGGTTGGAGAAAATCCTCCCTCCATCCCCCAAAGACCCAGCTCCGGGGATTTAAATACCCTCTCTAGTACATACTAAGGACCTTGAGACACTGTTAACCACTCAGCTATAGCTACTTAAAACATTACTTGTTCATTACTGGCTGCAGTTGCATTAGCAGTTTGGTACAAACCAGTAGAGCAGCTTTGCAGAACTACGTACACCTTACTGCTTTAGTCTGGTTTTAGGAACAGTTTCTGTGCATTCACAAGGAAACCAAATTGTAAGATACGCTGCAACTGTGCACCACATACACTTCAAATCTGAATAGCAATACACATCTGACCTAATAATTGGTCCTTCAGACATTCACATACATGGCAGGGATGGCTGGTCCTAAAGGGCAGAGTAAATATGGTCCACAGCAAAATTCCTAAGCTACAGGCAGATCAGATACATGCACCTCAGAACCAACTGCTTATCATCCTGTTGCACTGCTCATGCACATACAGTCACTGTCTTCCTCCTTGTTACTGCTCTCCAAGTAGTTAGCAGTACAAAATCCAGGAGCTGAGCTCAGAAGTCATCCCTGCAGCAGCTTAATGCAAGCTGCTGACTTGGGACTGAAGTAGCTGATGCATATTCATTTCCATGGACTTTGCTCATAGAGGTAGGACACAGAATTGTATTTTCACAACTACATTTGCTAAAGCATCTACATCACTGCACCTAGATCCTGTGCAAAACACCAAAACCCACCTAAAGACTGTTTTATTGTCTGACATGTGGCATTTTGAACATACTTTATGATTAAGCCACAATGAAGCTCATACAAAGTGTGGACAGCTCATGCAACCTAACTGGTAAAGCGCAGACTGAAACCAGGCACTTAAAAAAACCCAACCTTCCCCTCTTTTTTGGTTGGTTGGGGTTTGGGTTTTTTTTTTTTTGGTGTGTGTGTTTTGTTTGGGTTTTGTGGATTTTTTAGGTTTTTTTGCATGGTAGGGAGAGAATTTATTTGGTTGGGTTTGTTTTTGAAAGCAATAAGCAGCCTCCTGTCATCAAGCTTTTTAAATTCCAGGAAACAAACAGAACTTTATGTTATACAGATGCCAACATACTGTGTAAGTAGGTTTTAACTACAGTCTGTGGTTAGAAGGCACTATCTTTTTATGCTAGATGAGGAATTATGTGCTCTGGATGTACTCAGTTTGAAACATGGAGTACAGTCTTGCTGGATATTTCTGTGAACTAATACATTGCTCCTGGCAACAAAAATAATTTACATTTTTAATTTTAATTTCCTTTACCACAGTTTTCTCTTAGCCACTGCTGCCGAGAACCTGCAGTTGCATTTTACTTCCTCACCATAGAGGATTCAAATAGAGAGAAGGCCACCCTAAATGAGACTCTACACTGCTAAGGAGAAAGATGTAGTCAAACAAATGATTTCTTGTGGTGCCAACCTATACTGAGACTTTTGACAAAAGGTACCACTTCTTTTTGCAAACACCACGTATTATCTAGGCCATCAAGAGACTGGGTAACAGCAACCACTTACCAACAGAGAAAATAAAATTAGGTCCTTCCAAAATTTTCAATAGGTTGCATATAGAAAAATATTCCAAATTGTGTTCCTGAATTACACATATTGCAGGAACATTTTGACTATATGTCTCTTACAGCAATTTTTTAATCTAGATTCTGGGTGCTAGAATGCTTTACATATTCGTAAACTTCCTAAGTAACCTTTGCTTACTCTTTCCAGTAATATTTCTTGCAGGGATGGTCACTTTGGATATAAAATGTACACTGATCTCCTGACACTGTCCAACGAAACCTACAACACACTAAATGCCCAACAAAGACTGCACAATTTCCTGCAGAACTGCAATAACGCTTACATCTACATGAGCTTTCCAATAAAGGCAAAATGGAATGTCTTAGAAGGGGGAACCAGAACAATTCCAAGGAGTGACTAACACTGCAAGTGACTGTTAAATGAGGGGGTGTTTTAAAAGGCCTTGAGAATCAAGCTACCTCTATTGCTTTATAACCAAACTGAGGCAGAGAGGTCAGTTCTAGCATGAAAGCAGTTTGGTATGCATCCTTCAGGAGTTACTTTTTGTTTAGTCCCCAGCTTGAGGCTTTACCTCACACATAATTTTCACTCAGAACATCCACCATTACAAATTCTCTATAAATGCTACACAAAAAAAAGGAGGAATGAAGGCATTCTAATGCAACAAGAAGTCCCAGTATAAAACACACTCACTAAATATACTGACCACACAAACACATGGTAGTAGCTACATCAGTAAAAGTTACGCTGTCAGTCTATTTATATGGCATCTGCTTCTGCACGAGTGAAACAGCCTCCTCAAATGTGGTGGCTTCAGCCAGAAGAGTGTTATTTCAAAAGCTTTACCACATTAGCATCCTAAATAACTGTTCTCAAGTATTTCATGTTTGACCCATTGTTACAAACTAACATGAGTATCAGATAAACACAAAAGCAAATGTCACCCAGTTCAAAAAAGATGCTTCATGTGGAGTTCAACTTAGCCACTATGGCGAAAGGCTAACAGAATACATCACAAATTTATGCAAAGCAATACTTCAGTTTAAAAACAAACAAACAACAACCTTTTAAATTGTATGTGCTAGGAGATAAGACGGACAAGCAGGACAGTACTTAAAATCACTGATGAAAGATGCCAAGTATTTATTAGAGTTCCAGAAAGCTCCACAATTTACTTTAACTGGTTTAGTTGAATGATCACATTATCTAAAACCATAAAGCCCTACAGTTTTTAATCCAGTAATATACTAACGTAATTTTACAGTATCCTATAGATTTATCCTATAATCCCTTAATGTGCCTAGGCTGAAAAATCATGATTTAATACCTGATGGGCTCTGTGCAGCAGAAGGGGTGGACGTTGAGCTTGCAGCCACTGAATCACAGCGCCCCGTACTCCCACTGCCACTGGAAGGTGATGGTGATGAGAGTGGTGATGGATTGTGCTGATTTATACACTGGGCTACAGCAAAACCTGCAAAATAGGACAATGAAGTTTATGAGTTAATGATTAGCTTGAAAGAGCTAACCTACATGAACAAATCGAGAAAGGGGAAGTGCAAATACTGCATCAAAGTGGTGCTAACTTGACTTCTTATTGGCAGTCCCCTGGATTATTGAAAGTAGCCACAAATCGCACTGTGAAACACCTAACAATGTACTACTCGTTGCCTTCAACTGCATAGTAAACACTGAAGAGGAAAGCATCTGACAATCAGGTATGAAAGCAAACGCACCACTGCGCTTTTCTTTACTCTTTTATATGGGGAATCTCCCATGGCACTGGATGGATGATTCAGTCAGAGAATCTCCTATTTGGGGAATTTGCTGGTGCCATGCAGCAGGCAGCTAGTTGAAACAACTTAAACGGACTTGTTACATGAAGCATATGAAAGCTTTAACACACAGACATGGCATGTCAGGAAAATACTGTTACCAACAACACATACTGACAGGCTGTGTTGCACAGAAAAAAAAAACCAAAACCAGAATGGATGAAGAAAGGAAGAAACAAAAAGCTAACAAACACCAGTCCTGTTAACAATCCGACCTAATCTGCAGTCCCACCTCTTACCTTCTACTTCCCATACTTATACACAAGAATTAGACTCAAAACCACTTGCAGAAACACAATGCTATCTGAATAGCTGTAGTACTTGTATCACAGTTTTAGATGGGCAAATGCCACTTTTACCAAGCTTTTCAGTTATTTGAAGTAACAATTCATTATGTCGAAGATGAACACCACCTGAAAGAATTAAATAACCACCATGGCAGGAGACATCTATTTTAGTTAAAAACAAAACAGTTTGTGAAGCAGCTGATTACTTCATAAGTGTTAATAAACCCATGTATTTTATTTCAGAAACCCAACTGATTGATCTTCCACAATCATTTAGGTATGTTAAACTGAGGTTTCACACAGTGACGCCTGATAGTCTGCAAGAAGTTAACCACAAACTAAACTACCTCAAAGGTGAAAGACTTCTATAGCACTCTGGGCCACTGAAACATATAGTTTTTAATATAGCAAACATGCATTAGGCTTCTCATACATACTTCATATTTTGATAAGCCAGTTAGGATGGGAAACAAGGAATAATCAATGGACTTGTGACCACAGAAGTGAGGCAAAGATATCTGTTAATGTGAATCAAAGTTGGTTTTGGAACAGTTACTAAAGCCATCCGTATAGAAGTTCTTACATCAATCTATTTTGTTTCCCTTACAGTGCTGGAAAAAGCTGTACCCATCCAAAGCATTCTATTTCCACAAAAGGTTTGCACTTCCAAAGGAGGAGAAACCTTCCATCCTCACCAAAATGGCAGAAGTAGTAAACAAGGGCTACTCTGTCTATCCTGGGAAAAGCTGCTTGGATTCAGGAGGATTGCGTGCCTGAAGACTTTGGAGAACAGTGCTCATAGATTCATGTCCTTACACTGAAACGTTTGCTTCCAAATAATCTTAACTAGTAGCCCTGCATATTTAACTCAGTTTGAATCATATCTTCCATTTCTCGCACACAAGCAGTAATATTACATAAATCAAGTCAGTTGTAGCTTGTATAATCTTAGTGTTGTCAAACTACCTTAATTAGGCACTTCTGCTTGAATACCTCTGCACAGAAGTAATCAGTTCTACATGATTCTAATCACGACAGGAAGATTACTACCTAGCTCATACAATTCTGATGACTAGGCAATATAAATACATACAAGAAAGGCAGCAGAGTAGGGTCTTTAAAAGTAGCTGTCATAACTAAATATCAAATATTAAAATATAGTATTTTAATGGTTCAAAGAATATTAATTAAAAAACCCAACAACAAAATGAGGTGATAAACTGACTTAGCAGTTGTCTTCCATTATTCTTGCATAGAACTAAAGATTCAAAAAATACTTTATATACTTACAGGCTATAAAAGCAACTGTACCCTAGAATTATGGAGAATACGATAATTCAACCATCTCACACTGGAAATAACTTAGTAGTACTTAACTAAACTATCCCAATCTGACCTTCCTACAGTAGTTGTGCTTGATGATGAACATGAAAGCGTTGGTTGGTAAGAGTCCCACAGTGTGGTTCCAAAATAATTTGTATATAACATTCAAATGTGCTGAGCAATCTAACCTCATAAAATCAGTAACAAGAGCAGATGCTCATCAGCTGAGAAGGTCAGGCTCCCTGTTAGTACTTTGATCAAAAGCATCTGTTTTCTTACTGTTGATGAAGGCGGCAATAAATCACAAAAGCTTGTGAACATTTCAAGAATATATTCGTAGTATTAATTAAAAAGCCACAAATTAAGATCTGTGATTTTATGCCAGCCTGTGATGACCTGCTAAAGAAAGGCATATCATATTTTCAGTGTATAATATGCTTTTATAATGAGTAATATTTGCTAACACTAAAATAAACTTTCTTCACATAAATCTGAACAATCTCAAGCACTGTTTAAACAATTCTTGGGCTTTGTTTGAAGTCTTCCTATTCCCAAGAAATGATGAAAAAGTTGCATAGAATTCCTGCCTACATTTTCTTTTTCATTTAAAGAACTACATAGCTATAGAAGACAAACTCTTCCTTTGGATTTTAAAATCAGATGGCCATACTGTTCTTGCAGACTGATACTAACAAGAAGTTTTCCAACTTTTGCCCCCAAAATCTTATCATCATGATCATATACTAAGGTATTAAAAATGAAGGGGAAAAAAAAATTAAGAGAGATCTTCTGATTCCTTTTGCTTTCCAAAATAAATTTTCTCAATAGGGAAGTGACGACACTTGTTAAAATATTTAGACGTAGATTTTGCAGGAAATCATCAAGATTACCCTTTAGACACACTGAGTATATCTATCTCTATAAACAGCTTTGATTTGAAACTAGTGTTTTGAATTTGCTTGGAGAGGAAGTGATGATTTACTTTCAATATAAGACCTATGTTCACAGGACCTCTACCAAATCCGCTTGTTTCTTTGAAAACAGTTTTATTCTTTATGAAGAGTGCTTCAGAACACCTTATACATAGTTAATAAGATGATGAACAGACCAGCCAGCAAAGCTATTCCTAAAATGCGCTAACATTCTGGCAAAGGCCATTAACCTAAAATAGATCCTGTACTATATTCATGGTCATGACTTTAAGGTGAGAAAATCAGTTAAGATAAGGATTTTTGCTTCTGTTCTTCTCCGATCAGAACTGCCCAGTTTCTCAAGCCAGTCATCTGGGGTGATTACATCATCTCACTGCATTTACTTAACCTGTACTTTTTGTAATGAGTATTAGCAGGGATGTTCTGAAGCATGGTCCGTTATATTCTTGCCACCTTTCACCCACCTTGCACAAAATCTAGTTTTAAGCTATAACAACTCTCACTCTCTTCCTCCTAGGTATCAAGAAGCACTTTCAAACCAGATTTTAACTTTGGACCATGAAACAACAAAGCGAAGTGAAGCACAGGTTGACTACATGCTCTCTAGTGATACATGTAGAGATTTATGTATGCACTACAACAGAAACTGAAGCAGACCAGGCTGAAATAAAAGTTCTTGAAAACTCTGAATTCAATAAGAAGAGAGATTAGCAAACTAATTCAACAATTGTACTAAAATTCTCTACAGAGTGAAATTTGCAGGAGGGGTGAAAACATTTATATCACTGCCAATATCTTAAAACACACCCTGGATGTACAACTAAAATAATCCTACTAAAGAAAAGTGATTCATCTTCTAAAAATACTGCCAAAATCATGGCTCTCCCTTAAATTGGCAATCCCCACCATCATCAAGGGAAAGCATAACTTGTTGCTTACAAGTACAATCAAATTAACAGACTATGTGAAGTTTACAGAACTCTCAAGCATCACTTAAAGCTGTAGCATTAAGAACTGAATACACAAAGTTAATAACTGCAACTTACTCAATTTTTTTAAAAGGCACAAAATCTTTCTCAAACTGAAAATCACTCCAAGTCTGATCAAAGGATAAACACAAAGAGATTCCTATGAAAATCACTTGGAACTAGGAAACCTCATACACTCATTGGCGAAGGGGAGAAGGAAGAGGCCTTTGATATTCATTTTGCAATCAGATGTAAAATAGTGTAGTAATCCAGTTTTATTATACTACTGGCTGTCATAAAATGCATTTCAAAAATGCAGCATTTGAAATACTTCATTTTCTGTTCTCATACTTGGTATCAAATAAAACTTCAAAGGACTTTTTCCTCCTGATTTGCATGTGCATACAGTGGAAGTTTCCATTTCCTGGAATTCAGAGTAACTGTGGTTCCTTGAACAAACTACCTTTAATCCCAATTCCAAGCTAATGTTCTGAGAGTAGCTGCGGCCCTTTTCTGTCTTGCTACCTCTAAGGTAAATGAAGCAGTGCACAGTATCCCAGCTACTTTTCAAACCGGCAAGAAAATGATCATGACCAAATTAAAGGAGGAATTATGCACAACTGACAGATATGTTGCATAAATACTGAGTATGTGGCACATTTTAACTCAATCCGTAAAGGAAGGCAACATGTTAGGACACTTCCAGTGTACTTGGACAAACTGCCATACATATTGCTCACAACGTACACAGAATTCACACCCAGGTACTACTTTTTTCTCTAAGAGTAACTTTTTCCATAAGTCTCATCCTGGAGTTGTGTGTTCAGAAACCTATTGCAGTAAGCTTTTCATTGCTGATAGAAGTTACAGTTCAGCCATTGCAGATTCAAACCACAAAGCAGAAATTGCTTGTTAAGGAATGCTAATCTTACCTGGAACTTTGTCAACAGATGCAAAAACAGAGCGTTGCACTGTAGGATCACTGCTACCACGCCGTGACTGATCATAAAATCTAAATGGAAGGTGTTGGGCTGTAGCTGAAGAGCTGTGTCCAAAACCCATAATTTCAGTTGAAGGCTGAACAGGAAGATCCAGCAGAACTATGTTTAATCACAATTGATAATTTTTGTTACTCAAAAATATGTAACAGTAGGTGAAAATAAAATTGATAGTTCTCTCATAATCTTGAGAATAAACCATATTGTTTAACATAACTTGACTCCATTTACCTCTTAAATATGATTACAACTGCATTAGAAAAAGAAGAGACACAGCATTTATGGCAACCTTTCCTAGCACTGCTGTCCACACCACATTCACACTAAGGAAGCCTCAGTGGAGGAGGAAAAAAGGATTACTGTAAGCTCCTTGCATGAAGCAAGCCACTGGAAATATTTAAAAGATTAAAAAAAAAATCTTCTGTTTTTTACTGTACAAATAGTAATTCATTAGTTACAACTGAACACTGCAGAAAGCCATTTAAAGAGACAATCTGCTGCTCTTAAACCATCTATACTCAGAGAAATTCTCTGGCCAACTCAGTAATTTTAATAGCAGCTGTGACTGTGTTTTTCACAGTTCTGGTTAGTTCATTACTCCTACTGGACAATCCAAGTAACTGAGACAGCTGGTGTCCCTTTTCATTTGCTCAGCTATTTTCCTTCCTATATTTCAGAGTTCCCTTTTCTAAACTCTCCAATACATTCAGTTTACTGGAAATCTTCAATTTATTCTTCAGTCACTTAATACTAGAGTAATATTTTAATCACTCTTTGCTATTTACTCAGACTAACTCTTTCCTTCGTGTCTTTGCATGCATTTCCTCCACTCACAGAAATCTAGCTTCTGATACTCAACATTTAGGATTGCTCATCCAAGCATTAAACATTAAGATAACACCACTGGGACACCATCCATCCCAGGACTCAGGCAAGCAGAGCTCCAATTTAGTCCTAAGGCAATAGAACATCTGCTTTCTAAGTAGGGCATCTGAATTTTGAAACACTGAATCACATTTAAAAGAGAGTTTTGTGAGATGACTGGCAGCTAGCGGCAACAAAACAGGACTCCTTTTTCATCCTTTGACACATCTATATAAAATCTCTTGCTTGGAAACTAGACACTGGTTTACAGTTTTCTGTGGCACACCACTACTGAGATTTTTCTAACACATACTTGTGTTAAAGAGCTATTTGCAATGACACCCAAGTCTTGTTTCTCAGAATCATTTCAAACTAATGGCTCACCTGCTATCCTCTGCATTTTCATACGTCGAGCTTGGATACGGCCTTTTGCAAGACGCTGCTTTGCAATAATGCAGCGGATGTGATCTGAAAAAATAAATGTAGCCTGAAGGATAGGGAAGGGCTTAGAATGAGGACTTGAGGCAGGCTTATGAATTATTATGTTCAGAGCTCTACTGTCATCCTCCACGCCTGTCACCTGCATATCCTAAAAAGAAACAGAAGACAAGTTGCTAATGAAAAAGTCTGCATTTTAGAACTATAAATAGCAACATTAAAAGAAAACCCTATGAATGGTCCACTAAAGCACCTAGGAACAGTTTCTGTGTTAAGAAAAAGGACTATAGAAGTTGCACAATGTTGAATTTAGCTCTTCAGAAATTGGTACTCACAGAGATTGTCAGTTTCAAATTCAATTGAGTTATTTGGGCATAGCAAGTTTTAAGGAAATACAGTGTTGGATAAAGCAACAAAGATATAAATGAGGGGAACTTCTGAAAGTTTTTAAAATAAATTAGAAAAGTACAGATGATTTTGAAGTTACAACCTGTCATTTTCCCTACCTCTGTAGGAAGATCAGAACTCTAGGAGAGTTCATTACTGTGCTACTTAAGGCAAGTGCTTGGGGCTCAATCCTAATTGTACAGAATTCCAACGTCCAAATGAACAGAGCCCAATATATACTGGTGAAGTTATCTCATTTTCAAGTTTGTCTTTAGTTAGCTATGTAAACTTCCTCAGAAAATCAGAAATAGTTTAAAAGGCAAAATCTAGCAAAAAGACTAGTAACAGAAGAAACAAGTAAGCATGGTACAGAGCTTAAATAAATAAACTAATATTGGTATTACTATTTAACATAAACATAGCTTTTCAGCTGAGAAAAAGTAACCACCCATACTAAAACTCCTCTTACCTGCAAAAGGCCTGCAAACTTAACTACACCCCATCCAAGTCTGGCAACATCTGGCTCAACTAAACTCATCTGGTATATATCCACAGCCAGGAACCTTTGAACTTGACCTCCATCCTTTGTTATGACTGTACAAGCAATTAGATCACTGTTATCTGAAGGAAGGAAGAAGACACACATAGCTTAGCTACTGAAGTTAAGGATTCTGGGTTTTGGTTGTTTTACATAACATAATTTTAATGTATAAAAGTCTTTACAACACACATTTGAAGGTATTCAAGGCTGGTTTTTTAACAAATATTTTGCATTTCCCTATCATATTTATAGTAATGTCAAAAGGGCAGAATATATTTCAACAGTAGTGGTTGAGGTATCTTACAAGTTACATATCAGATGTGTATTATATGTACCTTGCTTTCTCTTATCACCTTCATTACCTTTTAGTATAAAAGGTCACTTCATTTCAGGGGTGAAATTGCAACAGTGTTAATTTCTATCACTAAGTGAAAGTCTCAAAGTCTTGTCCAAAGACCAGATACCCTCCTACACCACTGCAGGCAACTGCCTGTACATCAGTATAAACTTCATCTCCATTCTGACACAAGCTCCATTTCTACAGGTTTAAAACCTGACTACTCTGACTGTTGGAAGCCCTTCAGCTTCAAGACTACAGGGATGCTCTAGATTAACTGAATCAGGGTTTTGCCAGTATTTAAGTTAGGTGACATTTTTTTCCTTTACCCAATCACTTTATTAATTTATATTGAACAAACATATCCTCTCTCAATCATTATTCTAGCACCCCTCAAATAAGCCCCAACATACAGACCTCAAGCTTTAATTACACCATCCCCTGATCCTCCTGAATCTCCTCACTGCACCTGTCCCAGTTCAAACCATCATTCTTGAAAAGCGACTAAATCACATTCCTTACACCAGAGCTGAAGTCTGCTGAGTGCCCTATAAACTGGCACTGACATCTCACAGCAGACCTCTTATTAGAACTGCTTTTTCCTTTACTCCAAATTGGTAAGTTCATTCACATACTTAATACACACAGATCTTTGTCTTCTCATGTAATGCAATTTACAGCAAGTAAAAGATTCTATGACCACACTTACTGTCCTTCGGAGTTCATCATCTTTGCAATGCTAGATGGTATTCTGCATAATTTGGTAGGTTTAGCCAGCTAAGTCGCAGCATTTTAACTATTTCCTGAAGCAATTTTGATTGAGTTTTGTGATGGTTTATTGTTTCTTGGGTTTTTTAGGATAGAAACCATAGGACTTGAAAGCAATGAGCTCTATATTTTGCTTCTACCTTAGCCAGTTTTTCCACACACTCCTCCTCCTTAGTGCTTACTCCTTAGCATGCTAAGGCATCAATAGACTCAGCAGTTTACAGTCACTTATTCAAATAGCCTTTCCTAAATGAGGGCTCAATACTATAGGTGTCAAATGCTGTTAACAAGTACAATGCCATTTTTCCCCTCCTATTCCACAGACACAAAGTATTTTTAAGGATGCTGTATTTTTTGACATATGTCTATATATTGACATCAGTTTGATAAATCATATCATCTCCACTAAGGTAAGTATCATTCAAAAAGGCTGCCTTCTTATTCAGATTTTTTATATCTATATGAAGGGAGCAATTCTGACAGAAGCAATTCAGTGCATCTCAAATACTGAAGTACCTCTAATACTATCTCCATATTGAATGTTAAGCGCTCTTGCATTCAAAATCCAGCTGTAGCAGTAGTAAACTCTGTATTTCACACTAGAAACATCTGTGGGATAGATAAAAGCTACAAGTGGAAGCATACAGTTCTTTGCAGTGGTAGATCATGCAGCTACTGACAACAGCCATAGATTATGTTTTAGAAGGTGGAGGAAACTCTTTTGTACATAATACAGCTCAGCAGGTTACCCAGGAAGGCTGTTGAATTTCTATCACCAAAAGTTTTCAAGTTTCAAAAGAACAAAAGAAATACTCCTCACAAAACCAACCTCCTCTTCCCCATAAGAAAACCCCCCACACACCACAACCGAGAAGTCTCTTCCAACTAACATTTCTATTATTCTACCAATTACCCTTTACCAACAGGATCTACTCAAAACAGACTGGGTCGTAGGAGAGAAAAGAAGGAAATATGGAACCTTAATACACTTAGAAGAAGATAATTAATGCTAATCCAATGTGAATTTAGTGTGAGCTTTTGAAATTCAAGAATACAAGTTTAATCAATAAATACAACACTGCTACTTTTCTGCAATACATACAAGACACGATTCAGTTACATGAGAATTGATTACTATTATCTACTCAGATGCCCTGGAAGGCTCAAGAAATCCATAAAGGATTGGCAAACGTTACTCTTGGAGCCTATGGGAGATTTATTCCTTTTTAGAGAAGAAGCAGAGACACTGTGTAGAAAATAATAGGAGATCTAAAATGGCAATGTAGGCTATATATTGAGAAAACAAAATCTTACTCCAAAGAAAGTTGGGGCTGTTCAGCCTGGAGAAGTGAAGCTGCATGGAGACCTCATAGCAGCCTTCCAATATCTGAAGGGGGCCTACAAGGATGCTGGGGAGGGACTCTTCATTAGGGACTCTAGTGGTAGGACAAGGGTTAATGGGTTTAAACTTAAACAGGGGAAGTTTAGATTAGATATAAGGAAGAAGTTCTTCACAGTGAGGGTGGTGAGGCACTGGAATGGGTTGCCCAAGGAAGTTGTGAATGCTCCAACCCTGGAGGTGTTCAAGGCCAGATTGGACAGAGCCTTGGGCGACATAGTTTAGTGTGTGGTGTCCCTGCTCATGGCAGCGGGGTTGGAACTAGATGATCTTAAGGTCCTTTCCAACCCTAACTATTCTATGATTCTACGAATATTATTGTACCAATGACATTCTAACAATCTGAACAATAGAAGACAACAATATATATTAAATGCATCAAAAGCTCTAAGTTTTTGATCCCAAAGTGTATCTGTATTCGTATATATTTTATACTTACACATCCAGAAGTGGTACAAAGGTATAAATCTAACACATCCCTCCAGAAATTACTTTCTAATGCCTAAATTATTTCACCTTTTTATTAATAACTGGAAAGCCTGAAGTTATTACAAAGGTTTCTAAGTCATGGTAAAACAAGAATAATGCAAGTGTCATTTATTCTGTACTGGCCTGTGAATTTAGGCATAAACCACCCAAACATATTCGATTATTTTGCCAGCTGAAGTACATACAGTTTAAAAGAAGCAGGCTGAAAGAAACTTGAAAGACCACCACAACAAAAACTGATGTGAAAATTAGACTTTTTTTTTTTTTTTTAAAGCAAAAACCTTAATAATTCAACTAACTTCATTTAAAGAATACCTAGGACGAAGATTTTAATCCATACATAAATAGTACAAATGGATAAGGAATTCAATGCAGGTCCAAGCCTAATAGACAAAAGCTACAAGCGGCAGCAGTCCTATGGTGAAGTGACTGATGAAACTACACAACTGATAGCCTGTTCCTTCACAAGACAAAGTTTCTAATCAAGAACAAACATTTTTCTAGGAATACACTTTGGGTCAAACAGAACTAGCTATGGGGAAGTCATACGCAATGCACAGGATGTACACAGTGTTTTTTTCCAAGCCATAGAAACTGGAAAAACCCAAGAGAATCCCTATAAATACAGCTATTAACTGAGAAGGAACTAATTCTCAAACAGTTGGTATGACTAAACAAGGATGGGCTTATTATGGCCTATCCTCCACATTGCATGAGCTCTTACAGCCAGTATCTTTTTTGAGGCAGTCTCAGTAACAAGCATAAAGTCTTAATCAGTGTCAATGAGCCAAAGCTTTCAATAGTTGTATTTCAAAACAGGACTCTGGAACCTGTCTGGTTACTGCTTATCTTGGGACCCTTCATTTTTTACCTCTTTCATTCTTTAATCCAATTAGTTCATCAACACATTTATTTCCATCAGTACAAGTTCATGGAACAGCCATGTTCTTCTCAAGACCTGAAGTAGCTGGATTTTGACGCCTCCAAATACATAATGTGAGACTGCTGAATTCCGTGGAGAATCTATTGTGAGATTCTCAACACTTAGGCCACAACATCAAATAGAGTCATGAAGTTCTCAAATACTTGGTTTTGTCCAGTATTTATACAGTTTTTAGTAAACCTGCAAGCAGATTAAAGTACTTGAAATAACTGCTGTACGTATTCAACTGCCTGACTACAGAAATGCAGTACATAAGGTAAAGAACTTAAAGGGCAGTTGTTTTACAGAGCAGAAAGTTTTCATTTTAGATGTGGCAAAAATGTCAAGTAAAGCATTACTGTTAAAGTTTGTCAAAGAACAGAAAAGATAAGTACTCATTTATTAGGAAACTGTTACAGGAATCTTTTGAGTTTATGCAACTGAATGTACCACATTTACATGACTGTTTCTAGTTCACAGCTGCTGAAGGGTCATAAAGTACAATCATCCTTTATGACAAAACCAGAAGAGAAAGTGTGGTTAAACACATTTCCAGTGAACTGATCTGAGCTTACAGCTAAGCTATAAACCAGTTACAGAGATCCAACCATATCTGGGTGAAAATTTCAAGCCCAGTAAACTTAAGTACTATTGAAATCCGATCAGGGGATTAAAATGAACCACAGACTGAATAGTTAGTTCACTGACATGACACTGCTGCAATGAAGTGTACTGCCATTTCTGAGCCTAACAGCAATGCTCGATTTTTCCTCATGCAAAATAAAGCTTGTGACCAGTTCAGACAATACACATCCAAGGCACAGATCCAAGATTTCTTTAGATTTTCTCCAAGAAAAATACAACTTTTAGGAAACACAGACTAGGAAGGAGAGTTCAAAGATTTCAGCTGCTTGCAGCAAAGAAGATTTAAATTAGGTGAAAATATTGCATGGATACAGGCAACCATTTGTCTGGAAAGACTGTATTATACGAAGTCTTTACAAATATAACACCTAGTTGAGGAGATGATCTAACTGCACTTCACCTACGTCAGGGTTTGATCTTTAATGATTTTATGATTTACAGTCATGATAATTCTAGAAAACATCTGTAGACATCAAAAGCTCTTACAGAAAACTTCAAGCACTTTGTGTGCTTAGCTGGCAGTCTAAAATAAGTATTAGGCTGCAGATAGTTAATGTACCACCTCCCACTTCACATAAAGAACTTTTTCCAACAGCATGTAGCCCATTTGGTATGACATTCTCCTTTACTACTAAGTTATATTCCTCAGAAGATATTAATAGAAAAAAAGGAAAATTATATGTCCTATGATAAAACCTCTTGACAACTTCTGCAAATACCTGTCTGGGGGGAGTAAAGAAGCTGAAGCCAGTGGTATTCAACAACTAAATGAGAAGCACTGAGTACAAATAGAACCACAGGAGATTTCACAAAAACATTGGGGGGAAATAAAAAAACCCAACAACAAAACCCCACAACCCTTTTTTTATTGTGAAGATGAACAAACACTAAAACAGATTGTCCAGAGACACCGTGAAATCTCCATCCTCAATGATGGAAAACATGACCAGTGAGGGCCCTGGGCAACTTGATCTAGCTGACCTTGCTTTGAGCGTGGAAGTCAGCTAGATGGTCTCCAGAGGTTCCTTCCAACCTCAATTATTCTGTGATAAATTTTCCTCAAATCTTATTAAAAAACCATTGATTATGATAATACATTATTTATAAAGGCTGTTTATTTGGTAGAGGCAAGAGTGAACAAGGAGTCTTACCTATAATGTTAATTTTTCCTGCTTTAGCAAAGACATAATGGCTTTAAATGTATCATCGGTTACCTCTTGACCATGGCATTTTAAAAAATTGTCACTAATAGAATCAGCAGCCTGAAACCAAGCCCCAAGGCTGTTAACTTGAGCTGCCAGTGAACTTCACACAACAGTGAGATCCTGAACAAGATTAAAAAGCCACCTACATGAGACACCTACAAACTCACATGCAGTCTAAGACAGGCAGTTATCACATAATACATGAGTGCTTCAAAACTATTTACAGTAAAAACCAACTCTGAAAAGCAGTAGTATACATCATTGTGGTAACAGCATACCCAGCAAGATGGAATGAACCTTCTGTGGAATACCTGACTCATTTCTAAACGCAGAGTCATATAGAATGCTGACAAACTTGCAATTACACTTAAAAGGGTTAAAATGAACATATGTACATCAAAGCATTAAAATGGTTCTGTACAAGAAACTTTAACCTTTCTTATCAAGCTTCCATGAAACACCAGTATTGCATTCGGGGGGGGGGGGGGGGGGGGGGGGTGTGTGTGAAGGGGATGTTTTTGCAAGAGATTTTAAAACCCAAATGGTAACTGAAATAATTCCTTGATCTTGCTAACCTCTGCTTCTTGTCACTATATGTATACAAATGAGCATAATCACTGGAGGCATCTAATGTTCAGAAAAATTTAAAAAGCATTGTAAAAATACAGATTGAAGAAAATTTGATTGCAAATATCTTCAAAGTGATAATTAAAAAAAGGCACACCGATATAATTCTTTGGGTCACATTTTGCCAGCTGTTAAGCCTCCTCCCAAGATACAGCACCAAGCAACAGCATACCAAAATATTGATATTCTCTTCTCTAATGGGCAATGAAAAGACTTGAGTTGGTTTTCCCTTTATTCAGGTAATTAATATTTTGATGGACTTGATGCACAGAAAGGTCTCTGAGATACTGGACATACTTTCATAACATCTATTAAGGCAACTAGGGCAACTGGTTTTTTAGTTGAAGTAAGATCAACAAGCATTTAAACATAAGACAATAAAAATTTAGACTCTAAAACATCAAACATCCTTTTTTTTTCTTTTTAAAGAAGAACCTTCAAAGACTAAACCCCTAGCAAATACACACATCATTTTAGCAATCACGTGCCCTCTAAAGCTACAAATCATACATCCAAGTTCTTAATAAAACAACTGCCTGAACAGAAATTAACTACTTACAAGCTAATGCCAACATATCAAAATCTTCCAGGTCTTGATTACAGGCAATGGAGTTAATAGTATTTATATTGTCATGTGCTTTCTTTTAAATTCTAGCCTAAAAGCACACTACTCTACATGTTTTAAGCCTTTAAATTAAAAGCAAATGTCTCAGACTATGATAAGATTAATTTAGAACATGACACATTACTGTTTCTCAAACAGTGTCAGTGCTGGAGACAGTGAAACTGCAGCTTTATGATTTGGGCTGGACTCCAGAAGTTGTACTGTTTAGTAACATTGAAGGTCATCTAGAGATGTATATTTTGATATTAAATGAACACATGTAATATTGACTTTGTGGACAAATAGATACTTCATGATTCTATTCCTTCCAACTCTTTTTTTTAATTTCCCTTCAGCATGGAGAGCGCAGCAGTATTTTATGATACTGCAGAAAGAAGGTACTTCACCTGTACTTCATAATAAGTAGTACTTAGCATCCCAATGCCATTGCGGATATCACAGACCAGTTCCTCTTAGTATCCTGTTCAACTATGGGAGTACATCTTCCATACGCCAACTTGAAAACGGCCGAAGAGATGTGAAGAATAAGAACTCTGAGGGGTCAACAGGACAGGGCAACACCACCACATACACACATGATGGTGACCAAATCCCAGTACTAGTAAACCAGCACAGTGTAGCTGTTGAAGTAATTACCTCTAGTGTCTTAAAATTAATTAATGGTTTAAGTGCATTTTGAATAGGTGAAAGCAGGATAGAAGAAAATCCTCCTAGGATCAGTTCATTTAGAAAACTAAGGTACCAGGAAACCAGATGAAGGACTCTAAATCCTTTCTGTGCTAATATTTAAACCCTGGAATATTTATTAACAGCCTCTTAAAACAAACAAACAAAAGACCACCACAGGAAGTGTTCCAAATGCAGTAGAAAACAAACTTAATAAAATCCTCCTTGGTAGTGAATACACAAACAATCTAACTATATAAATTAAAAAAAACACAAACACCACCACCCCCCCCCAAAAAAAACCCAAACAAAAGCTAGCAATTTTTCCAAGTCATGGACTATTTGAGAAATCAAGGGACTACTTACTCAAGTCGAGAACATCATCTGCCTTTATCAGATCTCCCTCCCTCGTGAGTGGTAACTGAGTTTCTGGCTCATCTTGCAAGTGCAGTGATAGTGAACGGAGCATAAAGAAAACTCTGATTGCCTGGAGAAATTTGAAAAAGAGTATTAGAATATTGCTGCACTCAGTACTACAGGTTTTAACAGAATCTTACAAACGTATACTTGCTTTCACACCCCAGAGTTTGCTGCCACGCAGTAAACCTACTTTTTACATAGAGAAACTAGAATGGAATTTCAAAGTCAGTTAAAAAGAACATGGAGGAAGTTGAAACATGCTATTTATTTTTAATGAAGTAGGAGCAGCAGAACTTTTATCCCACTGGCACACTCAGACAGTAACTGACAGGCAAGTGATTATGGGAATTGTTAAAGCAAAACCAACAATATTGGACTTTTTTTATTTATCATTATTCGAAGACTGATTGTATTTACACGCACACTACAGACAACCATACAACCAACCTTCAGAGACTCACAATTTGAACTTTAAACAGTAGTAAGTTTTCTGTCTGAGTCTAGCCAAGATGTCTACAAGTTTCAGAGAAAACTGGGGATTTTTGAGTTTTAATTTGCTGTGTTCATCAAAACTAACCATCTGCAATACAGCATTCTTGGAGAACTTCATCTACATTCTCAGAAGGTCTATATGAGGGCATTCTAAAAGCTGCACCAGTCCCAAGAAACTTTCAACAGAAGCTGTGAGAAATTAATGTTCTTGGTTTGATTTAGAAATCAATGACAAATAGTATGCAAAGATTAGATGAAGTACCAAAAAAGTGTCATCATTTTATTAGCCACATTTTGAAAAGCACCATTTATAATCCTCTTCCCCTACAAGAACTGTATTTTCAGCATAGCAAATGAAACAAAAAATTTTTTTTATTACTTGTGGTGTTTTGGTTTTAAAACAGTTTCTATGTAGTAATTCCATGACATAGTGTAAATTAACTGCTTCCTTACAGTAAAAGCATGGAATTCATGGAACAGCTGCAGTGCCTAGGAACCCCCAGAATGCAGGAAGTATTAGGAAAACTAAACTGGTTTAAGGCAAAACCTTTCAGCCCTGTATTTTTAAAATCAACAGAACTGTGGCTCCTGTGAAGCAGAAATGAATGCTTGGTGGTTCATATCATACTGGTGGTGCTTTCAGAAACTTCTGACACAACAGAGATGAAGAGAGGGAAGCTATGTATCTGGCTCTTCCATGAACTGCCCCAGAAAAGACCTATCTGGTATACTGTTGAAACCTAACAGGGCAAGATGATGGTTCCGAGCAGAGAATGTCAAGGATATCTAACAAAACCACAATATTAACACTGCCTCATGAATAAGAGCAGAGTCACTTCCTCATGGGAGATGATCTCTCCCATTTAGGCAGACTGCATTCTAATATATTGTACATTTACTGAAATTAAATAGGATCACTTACTAGAAAGCAGTTTTACTACCAGATGTTTCAAGAAGAATTCATGGTATTGGGTTTAAAAGTTTCCAAATTCAATCAAGAACAGCAACATCCTTGCATATTTGGTAACTCAAAGAAGTCAAATCCACCAGGAGTTTAAAAATTCAGAGGACAGCAATCACTCAGCATGCTTTCACTTCTTTACCCCTCAATCCTCTTCCCCTCCTACACAAGCATTAGTTTTCTTCACATTCCCTATAAAAGTAATGTCACTCATGTCCAAACATGTAATCATATTTACTACAGGAGTAGGAAAGAAAATTGGAATTTTAGCCTTTGCAAGAAAAAAAAACCTAATCAAGAACATCAGATGAAAAGGGAACTACTCAGTGCTTCTTGCAACACTGGCAGCCCTTGCTTTGCTAGCAGCATCAATATAAACCCAAAAGCATGTGATTTGTGACTTCCTATAGCAGTTTATTAGATCTCAATAAAACAGCAGAGCAGTAGCCTAGAATTTCTTTCAGCTGACTTCTGTTTTCATGGTTAAGTAGGAACAAATATGAATTGCTATCTATAGTAAAGAACTATGCATTATGATGAGGTATACCCTGCACAGATTCCTTCATTCATATACATACCATGGGCAAAGAAATAGTAATTTGAAGGGAAGCCTTCCAGTATCTTCCTACATTCCCATGAACTAGCATTTTCACAGGTAGTTCAAAACCTTCTCTCAAAGCCTTTGCTATATACTCTGAGGTGCAGAGGTGCATGACCCATACTGTTCATGGCTTCCCAAATCAGCACATAGAGTTTGCATTATTCTAGGTGACTGGTAGCAACATCATCTTTAGGACTATAGAAATCAGAAGGAAGAGATGCAACCAACAAGCAGTAACGAGACTACCAACAATTCAAAAGAGCATCTGATTCTGGGTAGAAGGCTCAATCAAGTAGTAGTAGCTGATTTCAGAAAGCAGCCTAGCAACTTCTGGTCATTTTAATGTTTTAAGTCAGAGGGGTTGGCTGTCTGGATTTTGGAGATGTGCCTTTGATAACTCAAGAGTTCAGATTTCTGAGAGTTCCTGCTAAAGTTAACAGCAAAAGAATTGCCACTTAGAGGGACTTCCTATAGCAAAAGAAGTGAGAGCTTTAAAGGATCTGATCACTAACAGCTAAGTACTCATGATATAATCAAAGTATGGGACTTTTTTTGCTTGCTAGTGAAATAAAGCTTTTTTTAGAATCATGCCATGGGAAGCTCTGAATTGAATCACTATCCATTTGAACCTTCCAGCAGGTTAAGTGGCAGCAGCAATGTCACAACATACATCTGAAGTTCAGCATACTGCTATGGCAATTCAGCCTAAGAGAGGTAGCCTAGCAGGAAAAAATGCAGCACAGGAATTCTAACAAACTCTAAAATCTCTAGAGCAATACAATCGGGGAAGGAGGACCAACAAGGAAGCATTCTGGGAGTTCTTGCTGACAAGAAAGACCCTTCAATATCAAAGGATTTACAGGAATATTTATTTTGATTTCTGAATTTTCACCAACAGAAGTTAAGCTATTCCTTATTTAGCATATGGAAAACCATGAAGCAATCAGATTCTATTAGCACATTTCTAAGTGTCATTCTGTTCAATGGCTTGGATAAAATTCTAGGAAACATTTTTGCTTTCTAAGAACAATACTTTTCAAGATAATTCACTGTACTTTATCAAACTTACTGTGATAACAAAAGTTTCATGGCTTATAAAAAGTAATTACAGCAAAATATTTCTGGAGATTCCTGGAAATACGTTTTTATTTCAAGAGCACTTGAATATACTTTATATAGACATGTAAGTGCAAAGCTACCCGAAGAACAGCACTTTTCAAATTACAATGTTGTGCAGTAAGACTTAAAAGGACTTACTGGCACCACAAGGGTTATTACAACACTGCCAGATAAGGGCCAAGAAGCAATTACCCCAAGGATGTTGATGATGTTGTTGTTATTCAGGTCAGTATCACCTCTACAGATTGTGTCAGTCGCAAAAGTAAGTATTTTGCTATTTTTCTCCTCATTCTCAAGACCCCTATCATGAATTACTTCAGCAAGATGAACACTCCTGAGTAGATTGTTTGGGTTTATTTATCTTTGCAATATCTAAGAAAGACAAGCAATATGAAGTCAGCCAGCCTTTCAGTGGAGATTCTTACCATAGGAATATAATGAGACACAGACTGAGATAACAGGTCACAAAAGGAAACTGCCAACATATGTTGGCATATCACAACGCCTTCTTATGTAGTTATCCACACGGTCTAAAAAAATCAAAGCCCCAGTGCAAGAACATATTGAATTGACCAGACACAAGAAATCGTAGAGAAAAAGTTTCTTCACTGTGACAGGTAAATATTATATACTCTACACACAGACCTGTCTTCATCAAGTCATTATGGTTTTATGGATGAAGCTTCTAACCAAGCAGTTTTCAATAAAAAAAAAAAAAAAGTAAGAAAAATAGTCTGACTCACTCTTCGTGTTCTTTCCACGTCTCCACAAGGCAATCTTTTCACAAAATCAATACCAGTCAGTGGTGTCCCCGTTGGAGGCAATAAGATTGAGGCATCCATCATCAAGTACTCTACATTCATGGGTTTAATCTATAAAAATATTTTAACATTGATTACTATACAGAACAATAAGCATTTGCATCTTTACTAACAAATACAACTCACGGTTGCATATTTTAAGAGTAAGGAACTGTTACAGAGTTCTGAGATATTTTTTTTAAATACCATCTATCTTATTTTGAGCTCCTTAAATGCAATCTCTGTTGTATTTGCTTATCATTCCCTAACACACTGTTGAAGTTTCCATACTGAAAAGAACCCATGGGAAAACAACTCTGAAAGCTATTTCATGAGTACCAAAATCCAAAGCCTGTCACGTTCTTGCAACTTCAATCACAAGAAAGTTTCCTGTATCTTTTTCTTTCCAGAAGAACTCTCTAGTATCAAGAAATGCTTTAGCTTTCACACTAGACAATTCCCTTCAACTGTGCCACTACCACAGTCTCTCCTTTATACGTCTGCCTGTTTCCATGAATAAATGATGTCTAAAATATCTATGCTTCTATACCTTTCATCCAAGTCTTATTACATATACATGCACTGGAGACATGAGCTTCTTTTTGTCAGGAAGCCAGCTGGAATGGCAAAAACATACAACAGCCCTTTCCACAGCTTGTACGATACTCTGCCCGTAAGACAAACGCAGTCATGCAGTCATGTGAGCATTTCAAAATAGCCAGCTGTAACTGTAAGCATTCCTGGTGACTTTGCCATGGTCACATACCATAAAAGTAGCAGACTGAAACAAGGCCCAGAATTTTCACAGTGCAGTTTAAACTGCTGCCTTGCACACATACAGCCTTAAAAACGGTTTTTAAGTCAATTTTTCTGATCTCTGAAGAAGCTTTCTGATCTCAGAAAAATTCATCTTCAGTGTCTAAAACACTGCATTAACAAATTCAATAATGTATAGAAATATATAGAAGCCTACATACACAATTGTCCTGGTTTCAGCTGGAATTCTGGCTTTAGTCTGAGAACAGCATTGGTAACACACTGATGGTTTAGTTGGTGCTAAGTCGTACTTACACCAAGTCAGGGACTTTTCAGTCTCATGCTCTGCCAGTGAGGAGGGACGCAAGAAGCCAAAAAGGAGCAGAGACAGGACACCTGACCTGAACTAGCCAAAAGCGTATTCAATAGAATACCATGCCCCATATAGAAACTGGGGGGAATGAGTCAAGAGGGACCAACGGCTACTCAAGGACAGGCTGGGTATCAGCCAACAGATGGTGAGCAACTGTACTGTGCATCACCTGGGTTTTCCTTTTTTATTTGTTTTACTGCTATTTCCTTTACTTATCATTATCATTGTTATTACTATATTTTATTTCTATTATTAAACTGTTCTTATCTTAACCCACAGGTTTCTACCTTTTCTTCCATTTCTCCTACCTATCCCATGGGAAGGGGGAGGGGGGTGTGTGTGTGTGACTTTGTGCTACTTAGTTGCTGGCTGGGGTTAAACCACGACAACAATGAACAAATGAGAACACAGAACTAAAATTTCTAACAAATGAATAACTACCTCAGATGCAATTCACATGTGTGTACACTGGTTTAAACAGTATTTTACATCATAAAGGTGAAGAATGTTAAAAAAAAGGAAACTGAAGATATAGGAAGATTTTCACATTGTTTAACACCTAAAAAGAAAAAAACCAACAAAAAAACCCAATGTCTCATTTCACAGGATAATTTTTATATAATCACTTTCTGAAAGCAATGGGCTTTTATTAAATAAAAAGCTGTAAAATCTCACAGAAACGAGTCACGTAAGTGTAGGGACAACTCCTCAGAGGCAAAAAAGCCACCCACGTTTTGTTATTCTAGTCCCAGAAATAAAGATACCAGCACTGTCAGTAGTTAGCAGTAAGTACTTGTACTTGCTGCTGTGTTGTATCTGGGTTTGAGGATTTGGCAGGGCGGAAGGGGTGTCACTTACTGTCATGCTCCGGTATTCATCCTCAAACATATCCAGAAAAATTTCTTCTCCCTTTCGAAAAGAAGGATAGGGACAGACCATGAATCCTTACAAACACGGAACCATGTTTGTTTTGTTTCATCAGGTACTGCGTGTTCGGCGTCACCACCTACTGCAGGGCACAGCAGAGCCCCTCAGCGACAGTCATGGGAAACATGTTTGGGAAAGGGAGAGAGATTCCACCGCAGGCTGTGGAGAGGGCCATGGTGGAGCAGGTGGGTATGCCCCGAAGGAACTGCTGTCATGGAGGACTCGCACTGAAGCAGGTTTCTTTCCTGAAGGACTGCAGCCCATGGAGGAGAGAACCCACACCGGGGCAGGGGAAAAGAGTGAGGAGGAAGAAGGGCCAGAGATGAACTGCTATGGACTCACCCCAAACCCCTCTTTCCCACCCCACTGCACCACTCAGCAGCAGGAGAAGGCAGAAGAGTCAGGAATGAAGGAGCAAAGTTGAGCCAGGGAAAACGGAGGGGTAGGAGGAAGGTTTTAATTTGTCTTTGTTTCTGACTATCTAAAGACATTTTAATTGGCAGTAAATTAATTTTCACCAAGTTGGTTCTGTTTTGCCCACGATAGTACTGGAAAGTGATTTCCCTGGTTTTATATTGACCGTAAGATTTTTTCATCTTACATTCTCCCTCCATCCTCTTGAGGAGGGGGAGTGAGAGAGCAACTAGGTGGTTGTCCTACAGCCAGCCCAGGTCAACCTACCACCTCAAGTTAATTATTGTATGTAAGCCATGTTGAGAAGACATCCTTCAAGAGTTCTAACAAAAACAGTAAGAGGCTTTAGACACTTGAAATCTGTCATGGATTTACCACAGAAGTTAATGCCTGGGGGTGCAGAGGCCTCCAGTGAGAAGATTAAGTAAAATTTTAGATCATAATTTCAGATAAGATAGGAATCAAAAGCAACGCCAAAAAGAAACACATTCTGTATTAGAAACATTCTAATAGTGTGGCTCTGTTCCATGAAATACATAAAATACATGGCAGTTACAGCAAAAGCACATGGCTGCTAACTTGACCTCCAGTACAAGACCTGTGAGACTTTGTGACCTTACGTCAGTGTGGTATGGGAATGTCATGAAAGCAGAGGAACCCTCCAAAAACACTTTCTTCTCTATTACAAATATGGAGCACCCATCTGAGAAAGTGCTGCCTTGGGCACTCCACAGAGATTGGGATGCAGACTTGCTTCTAATTCCACATTATGTAAAGGATTTTTTTCTTGCAGCATTTTGCATATATACCTTATAGAAACGACGAAGGAGATGAACGCTTTCCTCCCTTGCACCCTAGGAAAAACAAAATAACTGTGTTTCAGGGAGTAAGCACACCATTTACTCAAAAGTCACATTTAAACAAAAAAAAACGCCAAAAAACCTCATACATAAGAGACTGTCTATTAATATCCCAGTACTCATACCCTTGAGCCCAGAGTTTGATAGAACGCAGTTCTTGCATTTACGAAAATACAGTTTATGTGAGCTTGTTAGTTGCAAAAGTACTTCATATCATTCAGACGGATGACACACAGATTTCAGAGAGAAATGTCAACATAACCTTGCTAGAGAAGTTAAGAAAGTAAAACTGAGAACACAACACAGGGCACTGATTCTCTATGTTCACTGCACAGAGCCACCAATGGAAAGTCATTTTAGAAGCTCAAATTTCACATTCGTGTTTATTGCAATCAGAAGTTAAACAAATTTATTCAACTATACTATAAGACTCAAAGACACGTGATGCTATGACTGGTAATGTGAAACAAAATACTTACCTCAAGGCAAGCTAGGTGAACATCTTTTATGATGCTGCTGTTCCTAGAGAACACAAGCTGCTTCAGCAACAGGCAGCCAAGTTCTAAAGTTGCCAAGCGGATTTTTCCATCTATGAAAAGAAAATTTCAATATACAAAACAGCAGCAGTCCAAGTATTGCTTTTCTCATTACCATTCTTAAATGTTTCTACTCTTCTCTGCAATTCTCAAACTTTGCTCCTCTGTCATACACACCCTCTCTGACAAGGATGAGTGCTGATGTTCACTTACAATTTTGATGATTATTAAAAAATACCCCAAAACTGGAAGAGTAATTCAAAGCAGAAGAAAATTTAAAGCAGAACTGTGCAACAGGAAGGCAATAAAGATTAATACTATTAGAAAAGAAGCAAAAAACAATGCTTTTATCAATCTGAATAGGGAGAATTGAATTACGCTAAAATTACAAAAGGCTCACAGGTGTTTGACATGGATAAAGTTACAGGATGAAAGGAAGCTGTATATATAGCATACTAACAAGGCATAGCTTTTCCTTAAAAAATGTCCAAAGGATTCAAATACAGCCTGAAATATAGAGAAGTCGGAGTAAAAGAATGCATTGAGATTTTAAGCTTATATTTCAGAAGGATATATATATATATAATCCTTAGGATATATAAAAGAAATGTGCAGTCTAAGCTCAGTGATCAATACTAAAGAGACAGACAGACATCTTAGCTTTTGACCCCAACTCCATCTACTATTTTACAAGTTAGTAGCATGCTGCCAGAAACTAGACAAAGGTCAGTACCCCCAAAAAGCAGAGAACAGGAAATGTTCTACACAGCATTTAGCAAGCTTACTAAAACCCCACTATTACCACCCCACCCCAGGAGTGCTTTTGTTTAAATAAATGCATTTCCTCATCTTGTACTCTTTCCATCTGCAGTATGTCCAAACTCTTTACATATAAACATGCTCTTAATCTGTGACTGGAGTATCAGCTTAAGTTAATACTCTGTAGATCAGTCAAATAAGCATTTGATTTTACCCTGTAGACAATCAGGAATTTGATTGGGTGTCAGTTTCAGGCGAAAACCACTTCTACTCCTTTGAAGTTTTAACAGGGGAAGTGAAGGGAGAAGAGCTGTGGCTTAAACAACAATCATGTTTCCATGGAATAGGTCACTGAGCCTTATCCCTCATTTCACAAAAAAGTAGAACTCAGGGGAAAAACCCAGGTTTTCTGCAGAACAGTTCAGAAACTGGAAATACAATGTAAAGAAAAACAACAAAAAAAAATCATGGGAACATTTGCTACCACCTTTAGAGAAAAAGGATGCTGTAAGTAAAGGCTACCATACAGTTTTCAAGACTACTATTCCACTGGAATTACTTTCACAAGCAAAGGTGCCACAGATCATATATCCAGGATGCTAAATCACAGGATAGTTTGGGTTGGAAGGGCCCTTAAAGCTCATCCAGTTCCTACCCCCTGCCACAGGCAGGGACACCTTCCACTACACCAGGTTGCTCCAAGCCCCATCCAAGCTGGCCTTGAACACTGCCAGGGATGGTGCAGCCACAGCTTCTCTGGGCAACCTGTGCCAGTGCCTCAGCACCCTCACATTTATCATTTTCTATTAATTCTGCTTATTTCCCAAAAGCACACACACTTTGTCCTGCTTTCAGGACTTTGTCCTGAGTTGCCAACTGGGGTTAAACATGACGCATTTGCACCAGACACTCCCTGGGCACTGGGAAGTCTGAAGCCCAGAGGAGGACCTCAGGAGACCACAGCTGTCTCTGCCAGACAGTTGTGAAATCACTATACACCTCATCACTTTTCTTTATTCAAAACCACAGAAAGTAGGAATTAAGACAACAGAACCATCTAGAGTTCTGGGTATGAAAACAACTGTTCAGCAGAAATCCAGAGTTCCTGGTTCCTCAACAACCAAGAAAAATCTGATTGCTGTCTCTCACAGACCTTATCTATTTATTGTCCATGAAATAGATGCAAAACAGACGCTTCCCCCTCAAAGACAAGAGGGTAGGGAACAACATTTTTTTACTACTTCCCCACCACCACCACAAACCTGGTTGTGCAGCATAATTCATTATCCTGATGAGCCCTTCCGCAAGTACATGGTTATATGAATTTCTCTCTTCAGCATGTTGAGCTGGAAGTTGAATTCTCTCCAGCTTGACTGGGTCAATTCCTTTGTGGGAGGTGAAGGAAGAAAGGTAAATGAGGAAACAGGTATGTCTTGAGGTAAGTATTTAATAGACTGCAGCAGTTTTCTCAAAAGCAGCAATACAAAACTGGGCAATTTAATTTTGAACAACAGAAAGACTAAACACATTGATGTAACACTGAAAAACCTCAGTCTTAAATGGAGCCTGCTTGTTGAAGACACTCAAATCCAGGTGGTTGGTGACATCCAAGCCATTTTGCTGCATGTGGAATTCTCAGACTATTTGTTTGCATCTAAAACAAAGTCAAGTCATATCTGAAGAGCATAATGGCTCCAGGGGAAAAGATGGAAGTCTGATTTGAAATTCTGCTTTGGGAATAAGTGATCAGTTCACATATGTTTCAAAAAAATAGGAATTTTATTTAGTAACTAGTAGCCTCTTATTTACTACCCTCCCCAACAGATTCTCACTGATTTGTATAAGGAAACAAACGCCATCTTTCTTCAATTTGTTCCTCTAAAATAGCAAAGTTATTTCTCAGAATAGACTGGTTACTGTAAGGACTCTTAAAAATCAACTAAGTTATGGACTGCTGAGGATCTCCCTGTCCTTGTTGTAAAGAATGGTAATAAAATAGAAGATTACTATTGTGGGGTTTATAGTTTCTTCCAACCCTGAACTTGTAGTTAACTCTACATAACAATACCATTCAGGGTATCCCAATTATTTCTTCACTAATCAAGGTCTGTTTGAAGATTAATGACAGTGATACAAATGTTCTCTGTCATGATGAGACTAAAGAAAGGGTGGCAGGAGGGGAAGCATTTAAGGAACAAGGACAATCAGAGTGCTAATGTTCACAACAATCTGATATTTTAGTGAACTGTTAAGAAACAGTTTTCCTTCTGGGAAGAAAAGCTGCTTATAAGTAACATTTCTTAGAGAATATCTATATGCAAATTAAATTCTCACAGAAGGACATAGTCATTAACCAGCAGAAAACCATTAAGAAGACTAAGAAAACATGGGGGAGGAATACGGCAGGACCAGACAGGTACTCAACAAAGTGGCCAAATTAAAATCACAGTGAAAGAATTCATATTCAGCATCTTTCATTTGGTTGTCTGCCTGCCAAGGACTCCGAGTTCTGCATTCTTGAGATATAGCACATGCTCTAGCAACATATATAAAGGGTTCCTTCTGGGATTAGAGATCTCTCGGATCCAAGAGGTACACGTATGCACCTAAATAGATGTGTTACAAATTGTGACTCTTTCTTTCTGTTCACACAAATATTTCTTGCTGGTGAAAACCAACATATTTTCTTTACACTCATTCAAGAACATGGTGCAAAACGCAGACTTACTAGCCAAATGGAAGGAGTCATGATCAAAAGCCTCAAAAAGGTGTCTACATTTAGTGACCAAGACTGAGACGGCCCTTAGAAGCAAGGCTCAAATTAAAGTTCTTGGTTATGCTAGGACAATTCACTGCTTTTTGAACATGTTTCATTGTAGCCTTCACCACAGTTCCAGAGTGAGCAGGACTGGGGGGAATGGTGAAATTCAAACTGACCAGCTAGGGAATCAGAAACACACCTGAAACAGCTAATATACTGCAACAGAAAACCGCAACTCATTTTCCGGTGCTGTAGAGAAGACAAGTTCGTATTGCATTCAGTCACAAGAAATCATCCTAAATTTCAAATTCATTCCCTGTTTGATCTTATTCAAGTGCTCACTAGAACATTTACCAACTCTGTCAGACAGCAAACAGGTAATCAGATCCTAGACACACAGCTCCTACAGAGTTACTGCTTCCTGAAACTGGGAAACAACTCTCCATGTTCAGACCTCTTGTAAAAGAAAAGGGTCATTGACCCATACCTTGAGAAAGTCTGTGAGCAGACAGATCTCTTGCATTATATTGAATTCACATTGGCTCCAGCTCAATCCTGAGGCACCTCCCATGACTGATATTGAATTTGGGGTAGAAAAGAGCAGCTGTATAGCTCCTGGGCTTTTAAAGAACAACATTCTGCTCTTGCATCAAACAGGGGCACTAAATTAACAGCTTGTAAAACCCCTCCTCTTCAAGACAGAAGCACTGATTCTGTGGCCCCCTAAGACTGAAAGCAGTCTATTAGAGGGCACAGACTGTAATGGGACTCCTGAAAGACAAGACCACCAAACCTGGATGTCATTATCTGTCTAGCATCTAAGACCTAGGGCCAAGAATAAAGGAAGAAGGGAAAACAGCTTCCAAAGAGCACTGGGCTAATGTAAACTATTGACAAAGAAAGCTAATGAGTATAGCCTAAAGAATTTTTTCGTTTAGAAATGGCTGATGCAAGCACCAAAGAAAGAAGTGCCTATTTTGACCTCTTAACACCTAACAGGTATCTCCAATTTAGGGCCAGGATACTTTTAGTCTCTTTAAAGTTAGATATTTCACTGCTTGCTGTATTTCTCAAATACAACTGTCTGTTGTATTTGCTAAGTTTACTTAGTGCTAAGTTTACTGTAGCCATTGATTCATTTAAATAACTGGTCTGTCATAGAAACTATACTCATAAACTAAAAATAACTTAAATTCGGCTCTCAATTCATGACATACATGATTAATGTCCATGTAAGAGTTGTTTACATTACTGTTCCATAAGGAATCCATTTAAAATGCACAGAAAGATAAACAGCACAAAAGCTAATCATAACCATCCCTTTGAAAAGGTTACATATTCTCACACTGTCTGAATTACAATGAAGTACACATTTAACATAGGTTTGCTAGTCTATAAACATAGTCCAGGCTCCTTGGGAGACTTGCAAGATGTCTTATGGCATAGAACACTGACAACTTAAATAAACTTTCAATCAATTACAGCACAATGGTTGAGGCAGCTGGTGAGGAATTGCATAGTTCAAAAATAATTACTGAAGGACTGCCAAAGCTGGATAGAAATAGGCAGTACATGACTTTCATAATTACATCTGATTCTCAGGCCTTGGGCAATATCTATATGCTTAAAGTACACAAAGATTTAATTTTAACATATGGGGGCAAGTTTTAGAACATTTTATACTTGGCTTACATCTAGCAATCGCAGTACACGCAAAGTGGGAAAAAATTGAATCCCATAAATCTGCAGATTGAATTTTCAACTGAAATTAAGAGATGAAAAATTAAACAGAACAATCCTATTCTACTTCCAAGAAATCTATGGAAGTTATCTGACGCTCACAAATCTTTCTTAAAAATCTGATCCTTAGCAACTGTTTTTACTTACAGCATACTCATTTCTTCCTCCCCCATGTAAAGAATTTCTCATCCTTTAAGGCATGCATAAACAGAAGTTACAAACAGATCGTGCCTGTCTAAAACCATGTGCCTCATTGGTTTTCTCTAGAAAAAGCAAACATTGCTTACCTTTGTTGTGTGACATTGCATATAACAGACAGAGCACAAAGAGGGCATAGTAATCATCTTCAGCACAGTCCAGCGCATTATAGACCATATCAAGAAAAGGCCTGTGGAAAGGAGTAATTTTACAACTGTTCAGAAGAAAAGACATCTACAGAAAAATGAGTAACTATCTTGTTCTAAATGTAGCTAATGGAAGAAGCAATATTACAGTAATGTACATCTGCAGGCATTAAACAAAAATGAACCTGTTTAAGAGTAGTCAGATTATAACTAAGCCTTGTATTTATGTCCTGCCATTAATTCTCATGTTTTGATGGGATTTGTTACATGATACTTTCCGAAGAATTGGCTGTTCACGTGTTTACTAAGTTGTCTGTAGCACCTTTAGCATGTGTGTATGCAAAAGCTTGGTTTAAATGTTTACATAAGTAACTTTAAGTAGCTGCTATCACTGTTGCCTTAAAAAAACCCTACCTTAAATCTCATGTATTGAATGGACTTGAAGTTTTTACTATTACAAGAAAGCAGTTTTCACTAGAAGTTTGGAGGAAGCTAGGTTATTCTGAAAGAATCAGTCATTTAATTTCAAACAGTTCTAGGAAGAAAATGAACAGGGATGGAACATTTGAATGGAAAAAAAGAAAGGTTTAGGCTGCAGATAAGCTTTTTTTCCCCCATGACTTTTAAGCATGTGTGACCTACAACATATATACAGGAAGCCACAAACAGTCTCATGGTCACCCTTCATGTGTACCCTGAACAGACCAGAAAAGTCAAGCTAGCCCAGAAGCTGTCTGGACAGCTCAGATACGGCTGAGATTCAACTGATACTAGCACAAGCCTGATAGTAATGCAAGTTGGCTTCTTGTCTTCAGCTGGCTTGCACCCAAGTCAGCTCGGAGCACAAGCAGAAATTAGATTAGTTTTCACAGGTGGTCCAGACAGATAATAATTAAAAAAAAAAAATAAAAAATCATGGAAGAGTAATAAGACAGTTTATAACCTTGACTAAAAAGGGAGAATTCCTACTTCTCAAAGAATCTTTTTAACAGTGAAAAGAAAAAACATCCTTACATTACCTAAATTACATCCAAATAAAATACATTAAAATAGCATCCCAACTCATAAAACCAAGTACATTTTCCTATCTTCAGACCTAGCAGATAAAAAGCATCCACTTCAAACTCATCGCTATGGTTAGCAATGGGTTGTAAGGGCTATCAATGACCAGAACACAAGATACCTATCCCAGAGCTGTGGCACCCTGATGGTCACACTTAATGTATGCCAGTAAGCCACTCAACCAAAGTCACAACAATGTATTTAACACTTCTCCTCAGCTCTGCACACATTTCGACAACACGCTCTCTTTTATTAAAGCAAGGCTATGACAACAACAACAGAACACACTGTTCCTCTGCTCAGTTCACAACATCACAGTCATATGTTTGGGCATTTCTGTAGCTGTATTACAAGCATCCTCCATAATACATCCGCCACTGAGCTGCGATCCTCTTTGCCCAAGTTCAGCACAGCTCTGTGTACCTACGCCAAATCGCTTAGGTACAGATACTCCTACTGTAGATCTCAAAAGAAAGTAACTATTCATGGAAAAGCAGCCTAAAGAATTAGCAATGTTGAAAATAAACCAGGAGTGCCTTCAGTCTTCCTAAGTGTTGAAGAAGCCCTATAAGCCTCATGACATCCTGAAATGGGGTGCTTTACACATAGCAAAGGGAGTTCAGCTTCAAGGTCTGAAGAAGAAAGGGGACCAAGATATCCAGGTTCAAGATTATTAAAATACAGAAATGCTACAGCACTGGGTCTGTTGTCAGACCAACAACACATAGTAATTACCCTAAAAACTGACAAACGATGTAAAAGTAATATTTAATTCTATAAAACCAATGTTTTAGGAGGTCAAAGCTGCAAGAAATATCTGTAGCTGTTCCACTAACACTAATATTACATGGTATTAAGTGACTTCTATAGTCTCTAATGCATTTTTCCTTGTTTTCACCCATCTACTACTTAGATTCGTGAAATTACGTAATTCTAAGAAGATATGATCACAGCAGTGACCAAAATAATTTACATTCCAGGTACTTCACAGCATCTATCTGCATTATCAAAGTCTCAACTGAAGTAATTTGAGGCCAGAACAACTGCTAGAATCCCACTCACCAACAGGTCCTCATATAGCCTAAATATCGGAGAGACCCAGAAAAATTTCAGCTGTAAGAAAGTAGCAACAGAAGGTGCAATGTAGCATGAAGATTTTTTTATTCTGGAAAAAACTTTACTATGTAACATATCATAAAAGGAAGCAATTGAAATTAACTTAAGGCTTTAGGCTTAACTTCAGGCTTAAATTTTCCAGTAGTGAGGCACATCGAAATAAATTACACCAAAAATACTTTCTCTTATGTTCTTCACAGTAGCAAAAAGGCGAAGGGAGACTGAAAATTTACCTTTTACAGCTACAGCTTTTTAACCGCAAACACTGCTGTTTTGTGTTTATTTTCAACAACTACTGGACAAATTTTAAAAGCCATTTTTAATATTAGAGGCCACATGGCAAATATTTTCCATTGTATTTCTTAAGTCTGTAAGCATTTTCTTCCTTTATTAGCCTTTTACTAGTAACTTGCTAGGAGAAACAGGTTAAATGTCATATAAGTATTCTTGAAATTATTTATTCTTGTAGACTGTGTCCACAATTGAAAACTGCAACACTTTAGGAATCACTATCATCATAATCATCAACGATTATTCCAGTTATGGCAATTTCTCCCACTTGAAGCATGACATAAAAGATGACTGTATTTTCCACTACCACATAGCTCACCTTATCCACAAAACTCAGCAACTCCAATCAGTGTAGGAAAGAAGCTACACACACTTGAACAAATGCTTTGAGAAATTCAGCTACTGCTTCAAATATTACAATTGGCATACAGAATAACACAAAATCTAAGCTGTAGCAGCTTATCCACCTATATTTCCAAAAACTTACGTACAAAACTAAGGCCAGAAACACCCTACACAAGGTCTATCCTTATTTTAAAAATATCTTTTGCTCTGCACATTCTTTGATGCTGTTTATTTCTAGGAAAGATGCAGGATGCTGACAGATCATATCTGCAGATAAAGAGAGTCCTGAAATGCAGATATTTGCCAAATGCATTGGCATCTCACACATTAGTATTTTGCAATTTTCAACACCTGAGCACCTTAGTTGCTTTAGTATTCAGTGAAGTCATTGCCAATTTCTTTCTAAAAGCCATTTGGCACATATTTTAGTCAAAATATCAATAATCTAGAAAAACGTATTTTAAAGCCAGCTCAAGTCAAGGTTCAATTTCACTTTTACAGTGAAATTGTTATCTTTATTAATGAATGTAATCTAAGCTACGTCAAAGCTTTAATGGAGACAGAATGAAATTCTGGGAATACCAGGCAGCATTTTCCAAGTTTAAAAATAAATTGCAAATCCTATTAAACATATGCATTTCCCCAAGGGACACACTGGCAATTACTTTTGTGTTAGAGATGGCATGTCCAGTTTCTTTCCTTTAGCATTCTAATAACAAGAGTGCAAAATTCATACTGAGAAAGTGCCTTAGTGGCATTTAATATATCCAAGTTTAAATTTTGATGTCAGAGCAATTTCTGCTACCCAAACCACTTAAAAATTGCATTTCCAAAAGTCTTCAATAACCCTAAAATATGCTAACTAACCTTGGAAACTGTTCACAGGTTAGCAGGGTTTATTTACAACTACTACTTCTAAAATTCTTCCAAATTCAGCCCTGATCAGAGGAATTTATCTTTTTTCCCCCCCGTAAGTGTATACAAAATTGGCGGATGTGACCATATATGTCATTAAGAAGAGTTCTTCTAGCTTAATTTAGAGTTTTAGAAAATTCTGGAATGAAAACATTTATATTCTAGTTTTATTGTCTTAATATGCTGTAATTCAATTTTACTAACTTAAGGCATCACAACTGCCATAAAGGAAAGCACAGAGGAACAGGACTATTTCTAAAACTGATCGGTAGAGGTCATATCCCTTTTTTCTCATCCCGTAATTGCCTCTCTTATTTGTGATTCTCAAAAACCCCTGTAATTTTAATTGGAGTCAGATCTGAAACTTCCTTTAAGAGAAGTGAGAGAATTAACATGAGGGCAAGTAAGGAAGAAATCCAGCAAAATACACTGCAGTATCTTATACCTGTTCCAGTTTGTTATCTCACTCCCAGAGGCAGCTGCACTCTTTTCTTCATCTGTTGTATTCTGTTCTGTCACAGTAGAGATGGGCAGTTCTGACAGTTTACACCTCTCCATGATTACCATCTCTATTTCTAAAACCAAAACAAGGTGGTATTTTTAACAAACAGCTAGGGAAGCTCTTTTGTACTTTCCATTTTGCATTAAAAGTGACTGATGCAATTATATGTTAGAGGTGCAACCATAAACTTGGAAAGGTTTATGAATTCATAGATAAGAGGCAAAATTTCTTCTCACTAAAATAGTTTGTTTACATTTCTTTAAGGAATTTAACTGCTGTAAGAAAATTACGCACATGCATACTATATGGAAAGAGAATATATAGATTTTGGCAAATAAACAAGCAACAGCAATCCCCCTCCCCTCCAAACTACAGGAAGAAAACACATGGAACTTCTTTCTGGGGGGGAAAAAAAAAAATCTCTGTGAAAATGATGGTCAGACTGGGGCATGGGTGGCCATCAAGTTCCATAGAGGGTGCAAATAGGTCTCCACAATTACAGCAAACAGGTTATCTGGTCCCAAGTACATCATTCCTATTCACTTTAAGCAAAAGTATTAGGACCAACTCTAGCTTTTGCTTAAGAATTTGGACAGAGATGACTACTAAATGTTCCTGTTTAAAGAGTAGATCATGTCATATTTTCTTCAAGTCATGGTGGGCAACAAAACATCAGTATCCAAACTCTGTCATTTTAATTTGCTGTTATACTCACCTTCATTTTCACTGCTTGTTCGGATGCCCTTCGAACTCACTTCTGTACTTTTAGTTTTATCTAGGTCATCTTGGTTATCTTCAGATCCTCTGTCCTCTTCATCTTCTTCACCAACATTTTTATAGTTGGGTCTTTTCTGCACTCTCTTCTTCCCCTTCTGTTTGTTAATTTCAAGGGACCTCTCAAGTGTTTCTGTTGGTTTTATGAAACATCTGATACTTGACTTTGCCTGTAAATTTGAAGAATTTACGTTGAGTTACAGCAAGACATTTTAAACTCAAACTTATAAAGAAACTTCAGTTCATATAAAAGAGGGAGTTTAGAATGAAAATTAGCAGACCACTTACAACTCTCCAATACATTTTAAAATACAAGAAGGCAGACCTCAAGTTGTATCAAATCTTCAGTAGTACAATTATCTCCAAAGTAACATATCCTAAAGATCTCTCATTAAAAATATGCCATTTTGAGACAGAAGATACAGAACTACCTATTTCATCAATAAAAGTTTATTAATTTATTCCTCTCCTTTTAACTTCCTAAACAGGTGAGACACTGAGTACATACAAAGTCAAACAGTAAGCAGTTACCACCTGATTTTACTGATTATTAATTTACAGAGCAAGAAAATTTATTTAGATGACAAATTTCTCCCAGAGTAAGTTATTTCCAAGAGTGTGCACTATCTGTGCCATCCTAACAACAGAGACCTCACAAAACATTTGGAAAAATCCCTCCCTTCACTCAATAAGGAACACGTATACATAAAAAGTAAGACATTAGGAAGAAATCTGGGAAGAAGCCTTCTACAGGTTGAATGTTTCTCTGATTCTTCTGACTTTTTTAATAGGTTTCAAAGAAATCTTGCATAAACCTCCTTGCGCTTGGCACTGAAACAAACCAGACAGTAGGAGGAATCTTTCACAACACCAGAAAAACTCACAATGTGAAATTTACCACACTCATGTTCCCCAGTAACCTCTCCAATATACTTTTAGTCTGATCAAACTGCAACACAGGAAGGTTTTAAACCAACCAGAGTTACAACCTTTTATTGATGGTTTCTGGTCAGAAAAGTCATAAAAAAAAGGAAGAACTCATGAAGTCCTATTCTTTAGGGAAAAAAAGAAAAAAGTAGCATGCAAGTTGCATAATGCATTTTTCTCTTCCTGCATTCACTTCTTAAAATTGCTTCCTAGAATCCTGTAGCTACTTTCTTTACTAAGAATGCTCATAGTTATAACCCTTGCATTTCGAAGATGACGTTAGCTGTAACAGCACAATAACTGAGACCAGTAGACAGCAATGTGCTCGTAAACACTGAGCCATTGTCTGGTCCATCTCAAGACAGAATGCTGAGAGAAGTCAACATATATATGCTGTCCTGCTAAATGTAACAAGTCTATATATTTAAAGCATTCTAAAATCAGACTTAAAATAATTTACATTGTATATGCTTTAACTAAGTTGATTATAGAGTTTGAGATACTGTTCTTTTATACTTCTAAAATGTCTTTCAACCATGCTTTCAATTATGGTTTATCTTGTGCAATGTGTGCTGGTAAAATAAGGCAATAACTGTAACAACTTTTACGGGAAGGAGAAAGTAGGTTAAACAAGAAACATGAAATAGGTGGAACTGGCCCACATCCGAATTATGCAGAGAAACAGATCTCACAGGAAGTAAGGTAAACCTTAGTGTGATGACTGCTAACAAGTTTAAATACATTCCGTTGGCTATGCATACTCAACTCTCATCATGAGGTAAGAGACAGTATTTCTTCTGATATCACCTAAACCCAGAAATACAGGGATAAAATATAGAAAGAAAACTGCATCTTCATTTGCTATACTTGAGGAGAAGAACCTGTTCAGTGGAGGTTGGGCAACCTCTACTGCCCTATGATGTTCAGCATATCTCCACAGGTTGGTTATTGCCAATTCATGAACTATCATAAATTAGACCTGCTGGTGATTTTTTCAACAAACTGATCTGCAGGAAGCAGTACCATTTGTCCCTGACAATTACCATTGCTCTTTTGCCTTAAATAACTCTGGATGTGTTGCATTTGTACACAGCAACTGCAACCCTTCTCAGCTTTTAGTTTTGTTAAGTGTTCTTTACTCTTCAGTCTCCTAACATGAGGACACATGACCTTGCTTCTGGTAATCTCAGTCCATGCTCTCTACAGCTCATTCCACTTCAATTTATTTTGTTAGGAAGATGAATATAAACATGAGGTTCTACTTACTTCCAGTTTTAGAAACTACGAGTTAGTTAGAAACAGACAGTCACACTTGAATTTAAATATATCGAGACATCTCAGCTACAAGTGATGAGCAGTGTTAGGTACGAAGCAGGGGTTTAGAGAGAACTGTGGCTCACCATAACACACAGAAATATCCCCCAAACAAGAAGCTTGGGAGAATATGAGAATGATTATCATGGGAAATTGTAACAGAAAGGAAGTAGTAAAAGATAAATATAGGTTTGACTTAAGAAGAAAAACAATTCTAAACTCAGCCAAAGAGTAAATTTAAAAAAAAAAAAGAAAAAAAACACAAACCAAACTTACTCATCATGTTTCTCTACTAACCCCAAAACAAGCAATTCTGAAGTAGCTTCTGAAATAGCTTCCATTATTCAATGGAAGTTTGTCATTTCTTTGCAACAGAATACACCACAGCTATAACACTGCAACAATCCTGATGCACCCCTGAAATGGCTGACTGCTCAAAAATCAACTTTCTGCTCTAAGAAGTCCTATCACAGAGCAACAAGAAACTGCCTCACCTTTACTTGTTTGTGCCTCCTTATCTACAGCTGACTTCAGCCTTACTGCATTGAGTTGTGTACCAGTAGAAAATACCATGTAATATAGGCAGTAGCTTTTCCCACTCAAAGAAGAACAGCTCACTTGATAGCTTCCCTCGTTGGAAGCAGCACATGGGGCAATTCTGCTGAAGACTACTCTCTGCTTTTTCTGCACCAGTAGCCTTTCTGACAGTACAGGTTCACCCCTCTAAGATTTCACTGAAGAATATGGTTGAATTACCAAAACCTAAAGTTTCTTCTATGCGAGCTTTTTCCTGGTCCACCAAAAGTGCCACCACTCTGCTCTCCCTGTAACAAATGTCCACCTCTAGCAGTTTTGCTAAATGTCTATCCTAGAAAGCCAATATCCCTCCTATTTACTATTGGTCAGGTATGAGAGAAGTACTAGTTTACATGCCATGAGGATCTTTAAGACCAGTAATAAGCTGCAATCTAAATAGTATTACAAACACAAGAGAATAGTGGAACAGAAGTTCATGGGAAAGCCCTAATATTCCTAACATTAGTGGAAGCACACAAACACATGCTACAGAAATTCTGCAACTCTGTACAGTAGCTATGAAAGGAAGAGAAAAATCTCACTTCTGTAACGTCTGGTGCCCCACCCTCTCGCCACAGATTTCCTAGTAACAAAGCCACTTCTGCACAAGAAACAACATGCAACATTCAGTACACAGCTTGCAGGTGAGACAAGAGATTGCTTTATCTTAAGACATTTGGTCCATTGCAGTTTACTCTAAAAAAGATTAAATTCTAAATATCAAGGTCAACAGTACAAAATACCAGAACCTAAAACCTACTGGCTAAGATTAGCACACAGAGCTTCCACTGCACAGTAGGAAGAAATGTGGAAAAGCTGACTTGTATTGTGGAAGACTTAAAGCATATCTCCCCCTTGAAACTCTCAGTGCTATAACCACTGCTGGGAAAGAACATGCACAAGAACATAATCTATTGCTTGTTATAAATTAAATATGCAGTAACTCTTCGCTGACTAGTCAGAAATTGGGGAACACATTCAATCTTTAGACAGAACTATACTCATAAGCCTCTTAACCAAAGTTATGTTGTACCCCTTTCTTATTACCATCCCCTGTTAGGCCTTTAACAAGTAACAAACTGAGAGACTCACCACAAAAGGGAAAAAAATCATACATATGACACACTTACAAAAACACGAGAAGCAGCAGCCTCTAGCAACATCTACACAGGATTAAATCCAAAGATACAAGGGCAATGACAAAGTGATAGCACTCCCTCTACTTGTGGCTGGCCTATGTTCTCTTATGTACATGGATGCATGCTTTCAGAGACGATTGTTTTTACTGCTAAACCAGTGGGGCTATTCAGACAAAATCCTTAATTCCTTCTATATCCAAAGGATTTACCATAAGGCCATGTATTTTTTCTAAGTCTCTCATTTCTACAAGTCGTGTAAGGAAGTAATCTCACAGGAAAGTTGTGATGACTCATTTCTATTTCACTGCCAAAAAGCTGATAACATAAACTGAACAGAGAAGACTGGATTACAGAAATGTCCCATCAGAATGACAGAAGCCTTTGTAGTGCTTGACCCCTATAGAAGCAACTAAGTATTCTAATGCATGTTCTGCACATGCATACACCACTACTGGAAATATATATGCATGCATGAAAATATTGCAACTCTGACAAGAACAGAATACACTAAGTTGTAGAGAGTATTTTTCTGCTGAAATCTCCTACTGCTGTTCTCTCCTAAGCACAGTCACCTTAGCTTACCAGTTTCCAGATGCCTGATTCTACTTCTCAAATGTTTTCTCTAAAACAAAAATATCCAAAATTAGTCAGCCACCTACCGAGTTTTTCTGTACATCTTGCTCAACTTTAGAAGAAAACACCGAGAGGTCACCATTAAGTATAACCTCAGCTAATGAGTTCACCAAAGGGGCATAATGTATAATTAGGAAAACCTATTAAAAGAAGAGTGGAAAGAAATATCAGACATATATTACAGAACACATAGTTTCACAATTTCAGTCACTGAACATACTTTGACCTTGTTAAACTGGTAACTTCACATATAAAGTACAAGTGGTAACACTGGTAGTTCATGAAATCTACTTCGACCTTTCTCTCCATTTTAAGCTACCTAGTATAAATAATTCTTCACAATCTTCCCTCCTATAGAAATGTAAAATTCTCTCTCCTCATCAGCTTCAAGATGAAATTTATGCAATATTCTAGCGAGGAACCCAAATTAGAACTGCTCCAGAAAATTAGGGGATTTTTGGCTAGGGTTTTTTTGGGTGGTGGGAGAAATAATTTGATTTGTTTGATTTCGTTTGTTTTGGAGATTTTTTGGGTTGATTGGTTTGGGTTTTTTGTTGGTTTTTTTTTTTGAGAAACTACGCAAACTGATTCTGGTATAGAGCGTTCAATGACCTTCTTGCATACCAACAGCTGGCACGACTCCAGTAAGTTCTGTGTCATGCATACTATTACTTTGCAGTGATTCATGAGTAAATGTCATGCAATAGGCTGAACTGGATCAGAAGCAGCTTTTCCTGCTATGAATTAGCTGTTATTTCTTGCAATGACTTATGGTCTAGCTACAAAGCGGCTGCATAACAGAGAATAAGGGCCATACTGCTTACAGTATTAAAGCACTTCTGAAGAAGCTCTTCAGTGCTTTAACATAGTTCTCTGTTTACACTAAGCACTCTATTTTGAAGCAAGGCTTACAAGGTTGGACCAGCAAATGACTGGCTCCTGGACAGAACCAGCTCAGATCCAGCCGCAATAGCCTTATGTCAGTTTATAACCATTTTCTCCAGAGGAATATCAAAGTCTAAACAGCACTTCTAGCTGAAAAATCCCCAAATAATTTCTAAATCAGTAAACCTAATCATTGTTTTGGCAATATTCAGCTAAACATGCCCTCCACATGTTTTTTGGTTAAAGTGACAACCATTACAGACCTTCAAAAGTGAAGTGCTTATTAGAATGCTGTGGTGACCATATAAAACTTAGAAAGTTGCAACACACTTTGAACAACCTCACAAATCACTACAGCTTCTTCTAATTCAGAAAACGTAGCTTGGCTACACACAGGCATGTTTTGGTGTAAATATGTTACACGTTCACTTTGTGAACAGTGGATGAAATCCACAGCAGAAGAATTTCATCTGCTAGTATGACTCTCCAATATGAGTAATGCTTGAAGTGTATGCCTGGTCTCAATAACAGGAGTTAAGAAGGTTTTTCAGATACTCAGTGTACACTTTTTCAGGTCCCCCTCCAAAGACAGACTCTAGGTTAAGAAGAGGTGGAAAAATATGTATTTCTGCTAATTACAGAAAAAGGATTTGCTACATCACATCCCCTTCTGACACAAAATGTTTTTTCTCAGTTCTTTATGGTTAGGAAAGCAGTACCATTTTCCTTATTAAAAAGAACAAAGAACATGGATCTAAATCTTGAAGTGATACCTAGACAATACTTCCACTGAAATCAAAGAGGCTAAAAGAGGTCAACATACATAGCCCTATGATGCAGATCCCTTTAGCTATAACAAGCTGTTTCTCCCAATGTTTCATCTGTGGTAAATAACTACCACATCACCATAGTTTTTTAGGTTTAAGTTAAGAAGCATCAAATTGTATTATCCTGAAAAATCGTATTTTTCAGAAGAGTTCTTAAAGAAGATGAAATTATGGGCCAGACCATAAGAAAATGACTCATGTAAAATGGTAAGTTCAAAGGAAGAAAAAAGAATAAATTCTATGAATACAAGGCAAAACTATTTTCAGAGAAAGTAATTTAAGAAAATTAGCTTCCTATCCATGCACCAGCAACTACAGGGAGAAAAGATTATTTTTCTCTACAATAACAAGAAAAACCCACTGTGAAACTCAATATGAAAAAAGGAGGTGGGACTGGTAACAATAAGAAATTACAAGTATTTAAATACAGATTTAAGGTATAGGTATAATGAAATTCAAATTGTGAGAAAGTTTGAGGCTGAAGTGGTGGGGGTTTGGGGGTGAGGAGGGTGGTTGTTTGGGGTTGAAACAAAACAAAACAAAAACCCACAAAAAAAAAAAAAAAAAAACAAAAAACCAAAAAACCCAAAAAAACAACCATGAGATCACTGCTCCTCCTATTTCTATCCAAACCTGGCATCTTCCATTCCTTAGGCAGATTCAAATTGCAATACAGCATCTAACTAAACTTTACCTGAAATATTACCAAGTCCTGTCCTAGTGTGTTGCATGGCTCTGTTATGCACCATGTGTCAAGTGGTGTACATAAACTATGATCACTGACTGCTCTAATGGCTACCCTGTGCTATGGGATCCTCAGAAGAATATTAGCTCAAGTAAGAAACTGTTTGGTCTGTCCATAAAAAGACAAATTATCTTTCTTTTTAAATGGAAACTGATAGGTTTAAATCTTCACTTGCCAAATTGTCTTTAAGAGATTTGCCAAAAACACACTAATTTATAAATCATAACATTACTGCAAAACATGTTCAGAAATAGGACAAAATACTTAAAATACTTACTTGGGAAAGAAGATAGAGAGAAACTTGGAGGCTTATTTTTGGACGCTCTCCACCCTATGGAAAAAATTTATGAAAAATGCAGATTCATTTATACAAAGTCAAAGCATTTACACGATTTAATATTTTATTTAAAACAAAACTTTTAATATGGTGCTGTTCCACATTCTGCCACTAAATGTTCAGAAAGCATCATGCTCTTCATCATTCACTTCTCGTAAACTATTTCAACTGAAGACTCTCAGAATAAGCATGTTCCTCAATCTACACGCTTAAAAAAAATTGCTATTGATTACAGTCTCTCATAGTCACTTTGGTAACTTAAATTTAACAGGTAAGTATGCCAGAAGCATGCTGACTTTCACTATAATACTATTCCCTCAAAAAGTACTTCTCAGTTAACCTTCATTAAAAATTTGCTCTAAAAATTACCTATTCAGAAACAATGAAATATTACCTACATATTAAAAAACATTTTACTGATAGACACTTCTCTAAATCAAGTAAACTGCATAGGACAAAAATATTTGAAGTATAATTTGAACACAACACTGATAAATTTATATACCAGTAGTAGTGAAAGCATTTTTAAAACTGAATTGATACTTCAAAAAAAACATCACCAAATAAATTCATCAGTTATCGCAAGAGGTAAGAGCAGCTCCATTTTACAATCATAAAGACATAAGTGCCCGGAAACAGGACGACAAGCAGATTTCTGCACATGTGTGAATGGAAGAAGTTAGCAGAGCTGAAATGAAAGTTAAAAGCCAGGAAAGTCTGCTTCACCCTATTTCAATGGCAAGACAAGAAGCTTATTGTTATTCAATCTTCAGTGCACAAGGAACATACTGAATTCATTAACTTGCAAGAAACCTGACCTCTGGCTAATGCAAGTATGCTGAAGTTCACAAAGCACTGCCTATCTTAAGAACAAACACCATTACAGAAGATTAAAAAAAAAAAAAAGTTAATTTATTTATTTTCTTAGAAGACAAGTGAACACAGGAACCTGTACAGGTTTTAAAAGAGCAGTTTCTATTTCATTAAAAATTAGCTTTCAATTATGCTTTTTAAAAAAAAAAAAAAGCCAAAAAAAAAAAAAAAACCCACACAACAAAATCCCCACCTTTTTATAAGAGCAGCTAGTTACAGGACAAGCGGCTTTAAAATGAAAAAGGGTAGATGTAAATTGGATATAGTTCTTTAGAATGAAGGTGGTGAGGCACTGGCACAGGTTGCCCAGAGAAGCTGTGGTTGCCCCATCCCTGGCAGTGTTCAAGGCCAGCTTGGACAGGGCTTGGAACAACCCGGGCTAGTGGAAGGTGTCCCTGTCCGTGGCAGGGTGTTGGAACTGGATGAGCTTTAAGGTCCCTTCCAACCCAAACCAGTCTGGGATTCTATGAAAAATAAAACCAAGTGTATTGCATTGAAACACAGCTTATCTGCAAACAGAATAATCAAGTATCAAAACCAGTTTGTATTTTCTACCTGGAGTGGATTTTTACACCATGGAAAATTTGCAGGGATACTGGGAAAAGGTATTATAATCTGCTTATTTTATCTATTCTGCCCTTAAATTCAGTCTCAGGATATTTCCTACACTCACCTTATTTGAGCCATTTCATGTAAAGCACACATAGATATTGACGACATTAACAATACTACAGAATGCACCTGCTGAAAAAAATCGTTATGCGTATTGAAAGTAATACCTTTACCTGTTAGCAGGTATTAACTTACCTTGTCTTGATTGACTAGTGAATACACATAGAGGGGAAGAAAGAGCCGATTAAGTAGGTGGTCTGTCAGCACATCGTTTAAAAATTCACAGTTAATGATAAGGATATCGTTAAGGTAATGTAAATGATCAAGATGTTCTGCTACCAGGTCACTCAGTTTGCCCCTATTTCTGTGCCTGAGAAAGAGAGCAGAAAGAAAGTCTGAGATATAATCAATTGCCAGAGTGTTAAAAACCTTAAGGAAAGAATTAATGTGCAATGTGTAAAGAGGTTTTTAGTAAAGTCTAATGCAGCTAGCAAACAGTATTCAGGCTTAGATGTGGTTTAGGATGCACATATTAAGTTCTTCCCCAAGTTTTCAGAAGTGGTGGTTGTTTTAAAACTTCACTTTCCACTGCCAGGGTCTTTTTACACGCCAACCAGAAAAAAAAAAAAAAAAAAAAAAAAAAAAAAAAACAAAAAAAAAAAGGAGAAAACAAACAACAAAAAAAACACCCTATTCTAACGTGGGGTGGAAAGGCTAACCAAGAATAATCTAAACCAACAAAATATTTCTGTAGATGATAGTGGAGTATTACACATGCATTTCAGGTCTGAAAGTTCATGTATTTAGTAAGAGTTCACCTTTTCAGTTTAATTTTTTTTCCTAGAAACTTTTCAGAAAGCTGTTCTACTGAGATGCTACACAGAAAAGGAAGATTAAAAAGATACAGTTAGTAAGACTGGAACAAAAAATACTTTTTGTGTCTTCTGGGCATCTACTAAATTTAGCAGAATTAAAACAAAGATGAAGAAAAAGTATGTTGCCAAACACTAATTTACTATCTGGATATCAGAATGGAAAGGACACAAAGCACTAACCACTATCAATTCAAAGAATCAGTAAAAAACTTTGCAAGAATGAAAAGCTTAACCTGTTTACAGTGGAATGTATTCAGAAACTAACTTCATCCAACCACTACAGACAAAATAAGGAGAGTATCAACACCTGGAAAAAAGCATTTCCATTCAACACCCAGCATTTGTAAAACCTTACTCTTCATCAGTCTGCACACAGTTATCCAGTTCTATCACGTGGCTTCCAATAAACCAAACGAGGTTGGAGAAATAAGGGACAGCAGTTTTATCTCTAATGTAATGCAGCATAGGTTGGTTGTCCACTGAAGAGAAATTGTTAAAAAGAAAAAAATCAGTTGCCAACTTTTTGTAATTAAGAAATACAACAAAGTATCTTCTGAATTTGATTACATGCTAGCTTTTCATACGAGTATATACCTGACATGATCTTATGCATGAAATGGATATCTACAAAAGCATCATATCAATTCTTAATAGGCTTGAATGAGCCTAATACTGATATATTTACATAGGTCTGAATATAAACAAATCTAACGGAATTGAGAAAGGTTGGGTTTTTTTAGCACATTCTGTATTAATAAGAAAAGAAAAAAAGCATAAGAATAAAGCAGTAATTCTGAAAGTCAAGCTAGTCAGACTTACATGACACTGCATTAAGGAACACGGGAATCATCAGTGAAGGAAGGGCAAAAGAAACAGACAACAGTTAACAAGATTAGGAACTGGGATAGCGACATCCTCCAAAAGGGTTTAAAAAGCTAAAGCACAAAGCATCTAAACTAAAAGATACATGGTAGGTGTTAGATCAGAATATATGCAAATGGATAGTCAGAAAACTATGAACCCTGAACACCTGAGCTGTGTTTTTTCAACTCTAACCTTTGTATCACTGTAACATCCAATGAAAATTCTAGACAAGTGAGTTTGTTTTTTTTTTTTACCATAAAAATACTTAGATACATAAATATGTAACTAATAGGATATAAAGCCTGCACTTTGCTCTTTCTCTGAGCTCATACTTCGGTTTACAGCTCCTTGAAGTAGAAACATGTACAAAGTGCCCATTTCACGACATACAAAAGAAAGACATTTTTGTCCCTTTCAGTCAACACTATGAAGAACCTCTCAGCTACACAGGCTACCCAGTTATTTGCAAAGCCAATTGTTTATTGTTTTAAAAAACAGATCTTATGTTCTTCTATGATGAAGACTTATCAAATCACTCTTTCTCTTGATAAAAAGCTGTGTAAATTCAAAATGCAATTTAATTTAAAATGGATTAAAGACTAAGAAGCCCTTCATGAACATATTCCATAATACATACTACCTTACAGCACACTGATTTTGCAGGTAAAAATTCTGAATATACACCAATTTCTCTACAGAGATCACTGTGATATTTTCAGCCTATTACAGATTTTATACATCCCACCTAAAAAATTAGGGGAAAGTGACTTTTGGACATTGTCTAGTTCAAACCCATTCTCCACATAACAATAACTTTGAAGTTCAACCAGGTTGCTCTGGGTCTGGTTGAGTTTTTAAGATCTCAGACAATACAGATTTCTCGGTGTCTTCGAAAAACCTGTTGCACTGCTTAAGTATCCTCACAGTGAAGTTTGGGGTTTTTTTCCTGATGTCCTACAGAAATGTCCAGTACAGGAATTTGTGACAGCAGCCTCCTGGCCTTGACTGGGCCTCTCTGGGAATGGTTTAGCTCTTCTTCAGACTGCAGCACCTACGAGCTCTATAATCATATTCTAATGCACTTAAAATCCAAAAGGAAGTGATGTAGCCAGAAAGGTTACTGCTTCATACATTATAAAGCTCAAGTTCATAAGTCAAAAGTATTTCATAGGATTAAAGCACTTCAGCTTTGGGGTTGGGTTTTTTGGTTTGTTTAAATACAGTCGCATTCTGATCTCTGTTGGAAGGGAAGCTGAAGCTCCTCATGCATGCTTGTTTTTTTAAAACCAGTTTCACCTCTGAGGAAACAATATTATTTACAAGTACATACTGTAGGTTTGGGGTTCTGTTTCACAAAAACCAAAATATGTACCTGAAGCATGACAACATGCCAAGCTTTTCAATCTCATAAAAGACAGAAAACCCTTAAATGTAAATATCTGAAAACTAAACTACAACAAAACAAGCCTTTTGTACACATGCCTTTCTGAATATATAAAAAGCATACCTTTGTAGACATTTAAAGTTATAGTCCTAACAGCAATCCTGACCATGCTTTCTGGGTGGTTAAAAAATTTAATAGCTTCAGTGTACAAAGCGAAGTCATTAGTGTGCTGTAACAAAAGAAAGTATTTATGCATTAACCAAACATGTACAGAGTATCTATTGGGATTCTGCATGAAAGCTGTCTTCCATGTATTGCTCTGATATTTTTACCTTCTACTTAAGTGTTTGAAATGATTTTACAATGCAGTCAGCTGCATTTGTAGCTCTGCATTAAAATAAGCCCGCTTTAAGCGTCAGAGCTTTCCAAGTTAACTCTGCACATATTGAGTGCTATAATGCCCTCTTCTGGCAAATGTGGAATGGAGCGAGGAAAAATCCACTGCCACCTTGACCTTTGATTACTCAGGCTTTTCAGACTATGACTAAGACTCTTAGAACGAAGTAATGCAACAGAAAAGATCCTGTTTAAAAAAAGCACAAGAAAACAAGGCATAAACAAGTTGAACTCCCACAGAAGTAGACTTCAGAACTACCTAAACAGTCCAATATAAACCAACTTCCAGATTTTTATTTTATTACAGTTGTGTAAAGACAAAGACCTTCTTTATTATGTTTTTGCAGAGATCCCCACAAACAAGTCCTCAACCACTGACACCGCTGTTATAAAAATAAATGTAGGACACGCCAGGACAAGAGACTAACTAGAATGTGTACGAAACTGCTATCCATTTCTAACTAAAGTCCTCTCATCATTATACTACAACTCTTTTTTCACTTACCTCATTATAAAAGAAATGTACAGTATGATTGTTGAGCTTCAAGGAAAGAGTTTTCAAAAATGATATATAATATGCCATGATCTCCTCATCAGAGAAGTCAAATTTGTGGACAATAATAGAATTTACATAATTATTAGAGAGCAGGTAGTCTGAAAAATAAGAGACATCATACAGGTTAAGAGAAAGAAAAAAAATTATGCTAACTATCTGTATCTAAAGTACCTGCTAGCAAAAATCTACCTGATGCTTGAAGATCTCCATTTTTAGCCAAACAACTCAAGCAATGGCTTCAAGCAGTAACATAAAGAAACTGTTCCCTACAAAGGTCTTTGCTGCCAAGAACAAGAAAACTGAGAATACACTTCATCTTCCTCAATTGGCTGATGCCAACCTCATGAAGTTTAAC